AAGGCAGGGTATGACTTCACGAAAGTTTGAAAGACACCGACCAAGCCCCAGGCAACCAGCTGGGCCGATAACCAGACTTGAGGCCCCACACGCTGAAGTATGATATTCGAAGGGATCTCGCTGACGACGATTCCCGCGGACAGAAGCTGGGTGCCGACATTGATCTGGTTGGTGTTGATGTGCAGATCTTCCGTGATGGTGGAGGTCAAGGCTGCACTGATGTTGCCACGATCGACCTGAAGACCGAAGAAGGCGAGCCCGAGAACAGGTAGGAGAATGAGGTCGATCCTAGTGGAGGTCAATGTTAGACATCCGGAAACCTCCCGCGAAGATGTATGGAATAATAGGATGGACCTACTTCCGACGAATTCGGGCCTCTTCCTTGTCGTCCCAATTCTTGATGATGTCAACTCCTTCCTCGTTGTCATTGCTGGACTCGTCGCTCAGGACATTGTCAATGACCTTCTTTTCGGAGAATTCCTGCTCGGGGTAGGAATAGGTGGCCATGGCTGCTGAGAGTATATGCGGGTGGCCTTGGAGTTTCAGCTGGGAAACTCAGCGATTGAAACCCGAGAGAAAAAGCGGCCGAGTTGCACGAAAAATTTGATCTGGCTGGAACGCATGATTATATGGAGTAAGTGGGTTATTTATACGGTGGTGAAGTGAATGGAAGTTGACTTGTGCTGGCAAGCTGCGGGCGCGGGCTCGCTAAGATTGACCGGCAGCAGCAGTGGAGGAAGCAGCGGGATGGAGTGAGAGCCCGCCGTGATGGCGCAATCGCCGCTGCGGTTGATGTCAATCCACCAGGGTGGGTTTACTGTATCTTTTCTCGCGTGGCTTGATCACAGAACTATGTGTACTTAGAATCATTGCACAAGGGTAATTATCTAGCTCTATCTTGAGAGCTCTAAGCGAGGTTTTCTCGCCTCTCGAAGTCGATTCTGTATGGTCGCTCATTGTCCAACTCCTTTCAGGGATGGCATCATCAACGACAGGATGTTTCCTGAGAGCTTTCATTCTTCGTAGCGCTCCTGGCAAGGATGAAGTTCCATAACAAAGAATCCCTACACGTGGGCGTGGGCCGAACCACAGCAGGAAGCCAGGAACAGGCCAGACCCACACATACAAAGTTAGTTGTAAGCATCCCATTCTGTACCTTCGAATCCACTTCAAGATGCCCCATGGATTTTCACTAGCTATCTGCTCATGGCCTACAATGCTAAATTGATAACTTGCTCCACACTTAACCTCACATGTGATCATTACTCGCTGCTTTTTGTCGTATAACGGTCATAAATACAAACTCAAGTCCAGGCCTCCCAGCTCAACCCGTCACGATACTGATATCCCGCCTGCGGGCCCTCAGCTTCGATCAAGTAGCCATCCTCGCACACCGAGTATGATACCTTGGGCTGTTCCGCATAGAATTTATCGTACTGGGCATCCAGCGCCTCTTTGAGACTACGCACATTCCCCGAAGGATGCAGAACCTTCCAGGGCTCAATGCAGGTACGACCCTGACAGGATTTGAGCACGAGAAGGAGTGCATCAATCCGGTCGATCAGCGTTGCCAGGGGACGACCGAGCAGTTTGGCCCCGCTGTGGGAGTAAATGTTGTTCATCTGGTAGGGATCCACCTACAGATCCGTTAGCTCAATCAAATTAGGCTAGGCAGCGTTACACATACCGAGAGGTCGTACAGCTCGTGGTCGTTGTTACACCATACCGAGTAGTACAAGTTATATTCCGGGGACAAGATCCGAGCGGATTTGTATGTATTGTTGGTCATGGTGGGCGTTCCATGGGGACCTTAATATAGTCGTGTCAGCAACACAGTACCCATATAGCAACAGAAAATAAACTCACCGATCCGCGAGAATTCCCCTTCAAGAAAAGCTCTTCCCCAGTATTCCACGGTCACATGTTCATGCGCAATTGACTTCGTCTGCCGCGCCACGGGCATTGGAGTGCCATCAAAATCCGCCCGCAGAGGGATCCCGGCAAGTTCAAACAAGGTGGGCGCAATGTCTATGTGGGTGGTAACACGGTCGACACTGACACCGCGGGGAAGGCCAGGCCCACGGATGTAGAACGGAACGCGGATGTCCTCTTCATACCCAGTAGTCTTCCCGGGCGGCAGCCGATGCTGGCCAATATGATAGCCGTTGTCCGCACTGTAGATGATGTAGGTGTTCTGGAACTCGCCACTGGCAGCTAACCGAGTCAAAAGACGATCTACGAGCTCATCAACTCCCTGCAGGGCACGCAGACGTTGGCGGTAGAGGTGATCTTCATAGTCGATCACGCTTTGGTTTTTCAGCTCGAGATTACGAACCCAACTAGCACCGGACAACTTTCCAGTCGTTAGCCTGATTCTCGCAAAGCCATATTGAAACGTACCTTTGCAGGGTTGAAGTGGGGTGTTCTCGGCACTTTCGCATCTGGGAAGAGATGCGCATGGCGAGGCGCTGGGAGCGGCTCCGTCATGACCGGAATTCCTTGAAGTGCCTCCACGTCCACATTGGTATGCGGTGCAATGGGGGCGACCGTGAGAAAGAAGGGCGAATCATTCTGCAATGCGTCTTCCAGGAATCCCAGAGCCTTGTCGGTGATCACATCAGTCGTATAGTAGCCCTCGTAGCTGCGCGGTGGCTCCTGATTTCGTTGATAAGTGGAGTTCCAGTATGAGTAGGTATAGGGATCGAGCAGGAAGTCGGAGCCATTGAAGCCGTTCACGAAGGGTGCATTATAGCTGTCGACACTATGTGCGTTGAAGAGCTTGCCAGTGTAGAAGGTATTGTAACCAGCGGATTGCAACCAGACGGGTAGGAAGTTATCGTTAAAGCCTTGTGACACGAATTTCGGATAACCCCCTGGAGAGTTCAGATCTTTGCCATGTTGGAGTTGCAGTGTCAAACATACCATAAGGTGGATGTACATCCGTGACGTTTGTGTTATGTGCTTGTCGACCAGTCCAGAGACTGACTCGCGAGGGACAGCATAGGGCGGTGGTGACAAAGTGATTCTGGAACTCAACGCCTTGGTCCTTAATCCAAGCGAGGGTGTGCGGCATATAGGCCGGGGAGTTCAGCTGGAGATCCTGATCATCGGTAAGGATGAAAAGGAAGTTGGGTGATTTGCTCGTTGTCGGGTGCTCTTCCTGCAATGGCTGCTGTTGTTGGCCCGGGATGGCCTCGGAGCCAGCGAAGAGGGCGGCGAGTACCAGGACGGAGTATCTCATACTTGCGGCCTCAATTGCCGGCGTTGGTGGTAGGTAGCGGTTGATGTCAGTTATACCATATCAAAGCACTCATTGATTCGGGATGGCGAGAAGATAGCGTGGAATGACACCATAGCGGGAGCTTGACTTTGCCGACCGAGATTAACCTTTGGTTCGGCTAGAGGCACCTTGACAGCACGCGGTGATGCTCTTTTTAGCGGCGGATTGCACCATGGATAGCCAATAAATCATGGTTCCTTGCAGTGCTTGGCCCAGGCAAAGCCCAGACCCGGGCGACAAGCTCCACCCATTTTCTGGGGAAAGCATTCTCGATTGAATGGATGAAGAGTTGGAAGGATCCATCCGGAAGGAGTCCAGCGACCAACGCGCCCTTGATTGTGGAGCTCGGCTAGAGCGAGGTGATGGCGTGCTCCGCTTTAAGATGAGCTCATGGAAGCTGTTCTTGCTTGAGTGAATAGGAGCCAACTGACTGCTGTATGACATGCATACTTGTGGAATTGAGTGTCAAGTGGGATTGAAAATCGAGGATGAACGATTACGTTTAATCAAAGACTTGTGCAAGGCTCAACATAGCATTATTTTGATTCATGACCGCCTGTCTGACCGCTCGACTGTCCGGCAGAATATCTTGCACTTTTTCGGCACGGGCCAATGAGGTCAGAAGGAAGTTACACTCCATAGCTCTTGCTGAACGGATTGACCACAGGCATCCGACTTTTCAGCCTTCTCTGGCAGGCCTACGAGATACCATGTAGCTCAGGGGGATCTTTGTGAAGATAGGGATGAAAAATAGTCGAAATACTCACGTTGGCATTCTGTGTACCGTTCGGTGTTAAGAGATTGACAAAAGATACATTGTCAAATGAAATCTTTCTTATCGAAAACTACCGTGACATGAAATCGCCCAAGTCGCACGCCATAGCTCCGAGTCTCAAATATCTATATACAGTCCAGAGGTGTTCGCTGGTTTATAAGTGCAAGACCAAAGTGCTGAGTGCAATTGATTGCTCCCATATCGTCAAGAGAGATTGATAGCATGGCTGGAATCTGGATCATTCTGCCGCCGGAGGGAGGCGGTAAGTTCTTGAACAGGCCGGTGCTCCGAATTACGCCCACCCCACTGTTGAACAGCGATGGCGGTCATCAATTACTCAGTAAACAGTTTCCCGTCCGAGTTTCTCCCGGCTGTCGAGCAGGATTCTGCCGGCCCAAGCGGTCAGGAAAAGAACAGTCTCAATCCCCGAGTTTCTCCCGCTGTTCGACTCCTTTCTGCCGGATTTGGGCGGTCAGCGATTGGACAGTATTCTGACCGAGTTTTTGCCGGCTGTTTAAATATTCTGCCGTTACAAGGCGGTAGGGGAACAGCCAGTTTCCACCCTCCGAGTTGTGGCCGTGGTATGGTTGTGGTCGGTCACGGAGCGTAGCTGCTGCTGCTTATCGATAAGGATGAACGTTGAATATGGACACGACACGACCACCTCTATCCAAGTCATGGTTATCTCACAGAATCTGGAAAATCCCTTTTCATGAGTTGATAGCCATTCCTTTTCACTTATTAGCTACAGACTTTTATTCTATCCCATTTTGGAAAAAAGGTCGGTCCAATACGGTGGGGTTCATGCTTGCCACGTTCATTGCTAACCTACATCTCAGCTAGGTATGTCAAGCCGCTAGTCATGGCTCTTCTCATATTCCCTGTGAACTGTGGACTAGTGTCATGGTGACCGATGGCTTCCCGGGACGCTAAGTACAAAATCTATCAAGGCTTCTCGGCGCATAGCTCCTCAAATGCACCCTCCCAGATCTTGCCCTCCCGCCAAAATCCTTCAACAAGTGGTTGCCTCCCCGGCCGACCCGCACGAGGCAGTTCATTTACCCATCCCCAACGTACCCTCTCCTGCCACCCTTGCTCCTTCCAAGCATTCAAGTCTAGCTCAGGCGACTTGTTCAGAGTAGGGAGATGGCGTAACAGCTCCGGATCATGCGCGATGCAAACCAACACATTTGGCGAAGCGTCAATGCGGCGTAACTGGTCTACAGATTGCTGTGCGACCGCAGGGTCATCGAACACGCTGGCGTCCAAGGCAGATACATCATGGAAGGGGGTTTTATCTTGGTTGGCTTTTGTGATTGGGTGACAATCAGCGAAAAGACTACATGGACAAGGGACAGGGAAGAAGGGGTCGCTGTCCAGGGTCTCGGCAGAGAAGTGTGCGGGAAATGGGACGTCTGCGGTGGGTCTTATCGCTCCGGCAAAGTGGCAGATATCGCCTCCGAGGAGAATAAAAGTGTCTTTGGTTGTGCGAGCGAGGCCACAAAGATGTCCGACACAGTGACCGGGGGTATCTAATCAAAGATGAGACTCCGGTCTCGGACGAAGAGATCAATTGACGCACCGAGAAGATAGAAAGACCCATCCCCGAAGAAGTCGTGGGCGCGGTAGCCGGCGACATTCAGTGGAAAGTCAGGCTCTACTACCTCACGACCCTGAAATGCATCTGCTGGGACCGGTGAGTTGAGGTTCTCAGGGTAGCCCGGGAGTAGACTTGGATCTTTCAAGAATCCTGGGCCCACAATCAATGCTGTTGATGCCGGAAACTTGGATACGTCCCCAACGTGATCCCAATGGTAATGCGACCAAATGATGGATGCTGTTGCCGTATTAGGTCTCATCTTTGACGCATTGAAGTACAGCCTCAAACTTACTGATTTCTTCCAATGTAATTCCACTTTCAGTCAGAATCTCGCCGACGTCCTTCTCTACCTTGAGCGCGGGTATGATCCTGGTAATGCCGCTTTTCGCAACCGTGGGGAGATTCCAGTAATCTTTCCGTGTGCCAAGATCAAACATGACTTTCTTGTTCAGCGCTTCGCTCTCGATCAGGAATGCGACGTCTGTCATATTGAGAAATTCATGGCCTGATTGTACGGGCTGGATAAGAGTTTCTGTGCGAATGCTCATCATAGTGGTTGTGTCCACCATCCTCACTCGCACTGTGTGATTGGACTGTGGGATATCTAGCGTTTTTGCCATTGCTGCTTATCTCTATTTCAGAGTAAATTGAGATAGGTTGTGGTCTCGACGAGGATGCTCGAGTAAGAGGAAGGGGAAGTTTATCATCTACCGAGTTCAAGCCACAGCTGGCTGGCAGATACGGCGACATCGAAGCTCCAAGCACCTCATTCGTTAACTATCGCTAGCTGTAGTGGCTGTTGATAGGCTGTCTACTGTACCCACCGCCTGCGGCGTACCGTTATCGTTATCGCAACGGGCCGATCGAGTCCCGGGCCTTCCCCTCATTTCCCCTCAAATGTTACCGGTCTCTCGTCAGCATACGCTCTATTGTTAGGTACCCTCATTGAAAGAAAAAGCTCCTACTCGCTGCACCTCTCGATATGACCGGGGTCAATTAACTAACGGCATGCAGGTGCTGAGTCACGGTCCTTAAGCTACTACGTAACTACTCAGATAAGCCTGCAACATTATCAGCCTGAAGCATGTCAACTGTCCACAGATCCCGGGCGCATAATGATAAACCCCTCTCTCATCTCGGTGGCATTCCTGTTGACCTGACACCTCCAGGCCACACATACAAGCAGATCTCAGCCAGTCTGTATAAGTTCTATACATCAGAATAGTCAACCGAAAACCAAGATGGGCTCCATTGACCCACCCAACCCCGTCTTCCAGAAGTACGGCGTACCGGACTCAGTTGTCCGCCTAGGGAGCAACAGTGCGGGACCGCACCCCTCATCCTCCACCCGCCCCGTTCACCATCCAGAATGGGACATCCCATCCGACCGTGGCTATGTCGTTTCCAGCCACTTGATCAACGAACCGCCACCAGACCACAAAGCCTTTAAAATCATTATCCTAGGAGCAGGGGCGGCGGGGATAGACTTCTTGCACCATGCACCCGCCGCCCTTGAAGCCTTGGGCGTTGAGGTTGTCTGTTACGACAAGAATGCCGATGTTGGGGGCACATGGTACGAAAATCGATATCCCGGGTGTGCGTGTGACATTCCCAGTGTGGCGTATACGTTTCCTTGGAAGAGCAACCCAGGGTGGACGAGTTACTATTCCGGTGCCAAGGAGATATGGGAGTACATGAAACAGATCGTGGAGGAAGAGGGGATGATGCGGTACATTCGCTTGAAAACAGCGGTGACATCGGCTGTGTGGCATGAAAGTCGAAGCAAGTGGCTGATCAAATTGCGGCGGACTGACCATGATGGACATGCGGAGGAATGGGAGGAAGAGTGTGATATGTTCATCAATGGATGTGGTTTTCTCAAGTATGCTCCTGGCTATGCAAGCCCTGTGCGAGAGAACTGACGTCTTCAGTGCGTGGAAGTGGCCGGATACACCCGGACTACACTCATTCCAAGGCAAGCTTTTCCATACAGCTGCATACCCGGAGGGATTGAGCCTGAAGGATCAGAAGGTGGCCGTCATCGGGTCGGGTAGCTCTGGTGTGCAAGTCGTGGCTAGCATCCAAGATGACGTATCTCAGCTATACACCTGGGTAAGAAGCGCTGTGTGGATCACAGCGGCCTTTGGACAAAGCTTTGCTGGGAAGGATGGCCGCAATTTTGACTGTAAGCTGTCTGTCCAATCTGTGAGACTCTTGGTTTTAACGGGTAATAGACTCTTCTGAGCAAAAGGAAGATTTTAGGCTCGACCCGGAGAGGTATCAACGGTACAAGAAAGCTGTAGAGAACGAGTTGAATCAGCGCATCAAACTCGCTTTGCGCGATACGGCAGAGTCCGACGCCGCCAATGCAGTAAGTACTCTCTTGCAAACACTTGCCTGGATACTCACTCTCTATAGTACGCATACAGCGAAATGTATACTAAGCTTCAATCTAAACCCCATGTTCGCGATGCCATCATCCCTACCAATTTCAACGTTGCCTGCCGACGACCCACACCAGGCAATGGCTATCTCGAAGCTATAGCTTCTGAAAAGACAACCGTCTTCACCTCACCAATCAAAAATATCACTCCTCGCGGCTTCATCGACTCCGCCACAGGAACCGAGCATGAGGTAGATGTAATAATCTGTGCAACTGGCTTCAACACCTCCTACCAGCCTCGCTTTCCGCTTATTGGTTTAGACGGGGTCAGTCTAGCAGATAAGTGGTCTGACACCCCAACAAGCTACCTTGCCATCGCCTTCGACGGTTTCCCGAATTACTTCACCTATTCCGGCCCATTTGCTCCAGTTGGCCATGGCTCCATCCTCCCGATCCTCTCGCATATAACACACTACCTCATCCAAACGATTCAACGCATGCGCAAGCAACATATCCGTCGCCTGAGTCCCAAACCCGCTGCAGTGGAAGACTTCGTCGAGCATGCCCAGACTTACCTTCCTCGGACCTGCTGGGCGGATCCGTGCTCGAGCTGGTTCAAGCAAGGGAGGAAAGATGGACCGGTGATAGTGTGGCCCGGTTCGCGCCTGGCATTCTTTGAATTGTTGCGGACGCCAACATTGAGCGACTATGATGTTGCGTATTGGAGCGGCAATCGGTTCGGGTACCTTGGGTCCGGGTTTGTGGACGTGGAGTTTCCCTCGGGCGAGCACGATTTAACTTGGTACTTGGATTGGTATTCGGGTAATGAAACATGGAAGAAGAAGGGTATGGAGGTTGAGAAGGATGAGGTGGATAAGTTCAAAGATTTAAGTGTGGGAGCCTTGGCTAATGAAGGATGATATGCCTAGATGTGTATCCGAACTGCTGCAGCTGAACTACTGCAAGTAGCATGCTATGCTCTAGAGGTTCGCCACCCACCAAAAACATGCACCTATTTTACAATCCACTGTTACTCTATCGCGACCTATCTATTGCTAGATACATGAAAGAGGAAATCAAGATGTGAACCCCAAAAGGGAGATCAACCATTGTAATTCTACAAACCACGCGTTATGCAATCCTGCAAAGCAGTCGCAATTACACCCAGTCGCTTAGTCACATATCCAAAGAGCCAGCCTCCTGCCCCGGCGCATGAGTTTCCGCATGATTAACCACTGAACTCAGTGCCTGCTCCGCTGAAGCCAATCGACGCCGCAGCCGATCCACCTCATCCATCGCAACAAACGCCAAATCGCGCCCCAGACACGGCACTTGCTCCAGCAACTGCGGCGTCAAGACCCGGCCTCGAAACCCAGGCCCCGCGCGGTAGATGGTCTGACTGTGCAAGATCTCAGACACGACGCGCTGGTGCAGACGCACGTAGTTCCAGGCGCGGCGGTCATAGATCTCAGCCATCGCCGCCGCGAACCCGTCCTCGTCCTGACGTAGCGACTACAGCGCGGTCGAGAAGCGGTCCGCCGCGAGGGCTTGAAGACTCTCGATCACAAAGTATTCGGCTTGCGCGTATACTCTGGCGTGAAAGCACGCGGCGTAGCGGATTGCTAGCCTGTCGCGGTCAACTGCGTTGGCAATGTTGGTGTTAGGGGTACGTGTCACGACGGTGTTCTCCCGAAGCAGGCCGCTGTCGATTGCGTTCAAGATCGTGGCACTACTGACGGTGTAGTCGCCCTTATACAGGAACTCGAGGACTCTGATCAACAGGTAGGGCGGGGTGTGTTGGAGGAGGATGGGTCTCGTCCTGTTCATCTGTCGTCCTCGCGGCTACCGTCAGAAGTTTGCATTGAGTAGGGTTGGAAGCAGTGGATTTACCTCAAGATACGGTCTTGATTGATCAATGGTCCGAGCGAAGTACCGCGACTGGGGACAGATGATCGGACGATGCGCAGGGAAGTACTGTCCGTCGCATATGAGAGTGATATCACTGGACAGGGGGTTCAGGAAGTATCTGGTTGGTAGTGATGTTTTATGTAAGTATGATTTGTTGGGATAGATTCGTCCCCTGGGGCTCAGAGTTCTTACGCTGCTCGCTCTGACACATCTGTAAGGAGAGGAGTTTCGTTCATCGTGGCTGGTTTGTGGTGGTGTTGTCGTGTCAGAGTTGATATTGCGCTGAGTTCAAGTTGTGGCCGACTGACAACTAACTCGGCGAGATGAGGGTAGGTTGTGACGAACCTAGAAGGATTCACATCATCTGTCACGATATTCATTTGCTGTTACTGTGATCGTAAAGTCTCTACATTCAAGGTGTGCTATCAAGGTAAAGTGAATAGTCCTCGAGTAATGATGGTAGCATCAAAGTCGATATACGCCCTGCACGCTCACCAGATTACGCGAAGAAAATATTCTGCTATCTTCAGTGCTATATTAGGCCCCGTATGTCAGCGCAAATACTCCTGCAAGTTTCTGAGAAAGCCACGGACAACTTTAGTATACAAAGATGTAGATGTGCGTCGACTCGTGGTAGAGAAATTAGGTTCTCTGGAAATGTTCAACCGAATACCTCCAGGCTATAGTACATTTCGCCTAGAGAACGAGACCTGGATACCTAAGGCATCAATCGTAAGAAGACTATAAGTGCAGCTAAGCTCTGATTTCGCAAAAATCATGATTAACTGCAAGATTGCATAAACTACTTCGATAAGTGCCAGCACTAGCCGTCATGTTATCAAGAAGATGCATAAGTATTGTTCATTTATGTCCGTGGTGATGGGTGGAATGGATTGCCCACAGTCCGAGGCTCCGAGACCGGCTCCCGAGCACCGAGAAAGGAGCACTTGCTGCCTCACGATTTACCCCTTAAAATTTTGTTTGACGACCTGCAGTCTCCATCCATTATTGACCAGGCAAGAAAAGACACGAAACAGCACAGTGCACAAAGGAATGGATCTACTTTAGCCTGAGATTGTTTGGGTTCAAAGTCTCCATGCTCTTCTTTTGTTTGTCTCTATGCTTGCCGGCCACGTAGCGCAGCTCCCGCGGCTCGGCCTGTATATCCATGCTGAGGCAGCCTGGTAAGATCGACAATTAGCGTGCCTTGAACTGCCGGTAGCCTTACAGAAGATCAGCCACTATCAAAGCCATACTTTTTCCGTAAAACCCATTCAGTGTCTATGTCTCACTGAATCAAGGCTTCTGTGCTGTACCTAAACTTTTCTTAGTCCGAAGTGTAGTTAGTTGCTGAGAAGATAGCTGACTCAGCCGGCTCCGAGCTTCCGGGCGTCCCGCGGCTGATCCGGGGAGGAATGGCCGCGTCTCAACCAAGCACTCTCACTCTTTCAGCGAAAGGATCATACACATAGTCATCCATCAAGTATTTTTTGCCAAGAGATGTCATCTTACCTGTCAGCATCTCGCCGGAAACAATGTCAGCGCCTATCGATCGCCAAGAGATTGACCGCGTTCTGCAGTTGAAGCGCACTCAGCGCGAGGCTCGAGCATGCTACCCGTGTCGCCAACGCAAGGTTAAATGTGACAACTCCCAGCCATGCCGAACCTGTCGCCGACGCGGCCACCCCGAGATTTGTGTATATGATCCGAGCCCACCGAAACATGGCAGCGCTCGGAGGGCAAGTCGACGAACTTCAGCTACTGCCTCAGCTACTGCCTCTCGCGACTCCCACCCACTCCCCGCATCACAGGATGCATCCAATCTGGGGTACCCGTTACAGCCACTGGCACAGCCACCTGCTCCAAGCCAGACAGTTCTGCCCCCCTTCTCACATCTGCAACAGATTGACTCATCTCGGAACTATCCGCCTGATGGCCCTGAAAGTGAATTTGTGTACTCTGGTGATAATTCAGTGGTCTCCATCCTGCGTAATCGTACACATGACGCCAACGGCTCAATGGCTCGTGAGGTCGGCTCGGTCCTCGGTCTCCAAAATACCTACCATAGTTATCCGTTCATGGAGTTCAGAACCCCCGGTGATCGATGGAGAGAACTGCTTCGCATCCTCCCCCAGCGCGCCGAGGTCCTGAAGTAAGCATTCAAAAGTCTCAAGTTGTCACCTTTTCTGACCGTGTACAGGTTCTTTCACTTCTATCGCCTATCGGCGTACCCGTTTAATCCTATCCTTGTAGATATCGAGCGGTTCGAGCTGGATCTCTGTTCATATCTGAATGCATTGGCCAGTGGAGAGCTACAAGATCCCTCTCGCATTTCCGACCGCTGGGCTAGCGAAAAGTCGGTTGCTCATATCAGCCTGCTCCTCGCTACTCTGGCCGCTGGAGCACACTACTCCGACCTGGAGCATATACAGCGCTCGGAGCTGTGTCTCGACTTTGGTATGCACCTCTTACGCACATCTTCAGTTGTCTGTCATGATGAATGCTAACTTCTTGAAGCAAGGCGCTCCTTCCAAGCTTTACGCCTAGCGAATTTTCTCTTCCGACCAACGTTCGACATTATCCAGTCTCTGCTCATCCTCGGAAACACACTGCAGAATACTGGTCAATCAGATTCGGCTTGGGCGTTACTTGGCAGCACAGTGCGTCTAGCTCAGACCATTGGACTTCACACCGAAAAGAGCGTCGCCCATTTGCCAGATCATGTCAAGTCCAAAGCGAGAAGATTATGGTGAGGCACACCGGAACAATCACAGATTGAGAGCTAACATACTACAGGTTCACAGTTGTGTGGCAGGACAGCCTCTTATGCCTTTGCTACGATCGACCTCCAATTGTCACTGTGACCGGCTGGTCCCTCGACGATTCTGCTTTCTCGGGGAGGGAATTAAATTACATGGACATGATGCATTTTCTTTGTCGAATCGCCTTGGATATACTTACGGCTAGTGAGATGGAGATGCAACAGCCTTCTCGGTTACTGGACATATTGGCCACGGTGGACAGAGTTTGCCAACGAGCGCAACCTCACCTAAAGAGCCTGCAAGAATGCAAAACGCTGCAACACAACCTGGAGCACTTGGCCTTGAAGATGCACATTGCTTTCGCAGTCTCCGTCGTCACTCGACCGGCACTCAAGCGATCTGGAGTCCGGGATTCGGCCCAGGACATTCTGCGGATGCGCGCCAAGTGCAGTCTGATTGACGCGTCCAACACTTTCCTCGAGTTCCAGGCTCTCAGCGTGGTGCCTCTGCGGACGTGGTCCATGGTGCATACAGTAATTAGCTCGACTCTGCTGCTCTGCATTTGGGAGGAGACGCGCAACGATGCTGAGTGTCGTGACTTGCAGCAGAAGGTGATTGAGGTCTTTTCTGCCGCCGGTTCTGTGGGCTCGGTGGAGAGATCGGGCTCGGAGAACGGGCAATGGCTGTCGGAGAGACACATTCGGGCGCTGATTACCTTGCGAAACGCGGTGCGGACGGCACTGGAGCGGGAGAAGGAAGAGGGCGACGTCGGGCCACCGAATAATCTGGAGCAGGCCGAGACCTTCATGCCTGCATTCGGGTATGTGATCCACTGAACCATATCCACTTGTGGGGCTGACGGAGTGCTAACAATGGTGCAGAATCCCCAACGGCTTTCCTGATGTCTTGGGGCAGGACTTCTCGCCGATGTCCTATCTCGATTCAATTATGAATGGTAAGTCGAGTGATCGTTGTGCCTTCATCTTGCTAACGGCAGAAGTGCCCATGTTCGATCTCTCCCAAGAGATTGATTTCTCCTGAGCCGGCTCCGACTGGAATGTATGACGTAGTTAGACCGTTTCACTTTACGGAGCCTCTCGGCACTTCGGAGACCTCGGAGTCTCGGGGCAGTTTGTCTTCCTCTGTGCCATAGCCCGAGTGAAGGCAAAGAAATATGTGAGAAGAAGCAACAAACTCCTCTGCGAGTTATCAGACGGATCGCCACGAGAGACGTATATAACTATCCAGGAATGTCTCATCGGTGATAGTCCTTCAAGCACTCACAGTCACTCATCAGACGCATACATTTTCGGATACATATTACCTGAATTCGCCCATATGTTCAGCTCAATCCTTCCCGGTACTGCTACACCTAACTCCGGTCGCTCCGCCTCTCCCCCTCACGACATGACCTCCGAACAAAGTCGTTCAGCGCACCCTGCGCCCACAACCCGTCGACGTCGCATTGTGGTTGCAATGACAGGCGCTACCGGAGCGTTGCTTGGGATCAAAGTGTTGATTGCTCTACGTCGATTGAACGTGGAAACCCACTTGGTCCTGAGTAAATGGGCGGAAGCTACGATTAAATACGAAACCGATTACCATCCATCAAATGTCAGAGCTCTAGCCGACCACGTACACAATATCAATGATATGGCGGCACCGATATCGAGCGGGTCGTTCCGGGCGGACGGGATGATCGTGGTGCCTTGCAGCATGAAGACTTTGGCGGCCATCCACTCAGGATTCTGTGATGATCTCATCTCTCGCACGGCGGATGTGATGCTCAAGGAGCGACGACGACTGGTTTTGGTGGCGCGCGAGACGCCGCTAAGCGAGATTCATCTGCGAAACATGCTCGAGGTTACACGCGCCGGAGCGGTTATCTTCCCGCCCGTACCGGCGTTTTATATCAAAGCGGCAGGTGTTGATGAGTTAATCGACCAGAGTGTCGGACGAATGCTGGATCTGTTCGATCTGGACACTGGAGATTTCGAGCGATGGAACGGATGGGAAAAGTGATGGGAGTTGTCTTTGGTCGCACTTCTTTTTATGGGCGCATATACCTCTTTTTGAGTGCAAATGGGTTTGATTTCAGGGGCGTGATCTACTTTTACGGTTAGACTTTGGTTGAATGATAGACCTATTTTTGGGGCCGGACGGCCTTTGAGAATCGACGAACCGCGGATGATTTTCGCTACCACGAACCTGGATCTTCATGTGTTTCTACCCTTTTCGGATGGTCCGCTCGGAGACCCAAACAACCAACCTTGAATTCTTCACAACTTCCCCACTGAAATGTTGGGTCTGGGTCAGGAACAGCACTCAATCGGCTAAACGGCAATGCAAACCCGACGTCCAAGCCGACAATGCTGAGTCAATTTGACGAATGACTTGTCGACCAGCAAGTTTGGCAAGAATCCAGGAAAGCGCATTGACAAAATCTTCGGAGGAGCTCCTTGCCCCGCATGGAAATGATCACCGGCACAATGCATACAATAGCGGGGAAAGGGGTGCGGGGTCCCTCTCGTTCATCCTGGCATTCGGCAGTTCAGCCCTAAAAGCAGCGACTCCGTCTGGTTTCCAAGGCATTTAGACTGTCGCAAACCTCGGTTCATGTGTGAGATTTCAAACAACCGCTTCTTCAGGGTGCTCCGCTTCTCGACATCTCCACTTCTTGTCGGCTTGGGTTGTGCCTGGCGCAGTCTCCTGACCGGCCGATCGTATTATGCCAATGCGACTGATTTCTCGAATACGACGGCAGAGAGGGGAAAACGAGGGTTTCAACCGAGGAGACACATGGGCAAACAAAGGACTATGGCATCCTGGCTCTCAAGTGGACATGTCCGAAAGTTAGGACGAGGGGCTGCATACCAAAAATGGATTCATGAAGACAAAATGGAGGCCTATATAAATCACGAGCTAGGTGGCCTGCTGAGTGGTATTGTTGAACGTTGAGGTTCGACTCTCAGGCAATCATGAAGGCCCCCTATTTCCTTTGGCTTGCCCTTTCGTGGGTGGCTCACGCGGTGCCCGCGCCGCGCGCCGCAGCGCCTACTGTGACCATTGCCAGTCCAGCTGCGACTGTCATTGGAAAAGCTGGCAATGTGGAAGTCTTCAACAACATTCCTTTCGCGCAGGCGCCCACCGGCTCACTGCGCTTGAAGCCCCCACAGCCGATCCAGACGTCGCTTGGGACAGTTCAAGCGACCGGGAGCTCCAAGTCATGCCCGCAGTTTTATTTCTCGACCAGCGATTTCCCGGCCTCAGTTCTGGGTATCCTCGCCGACAATCCTCTGGTACAAGTCGCCACCAATGCCGGCGAGGACTGCCTTAGCATCGACATCCGTCGCCCGGCTGGAACTACCGTCGATTCGAAATTGCCCGTGCTTGTTTGGATCTTCGGAGGTGGATTCGAGCTTGGGTCGAAGTCCATGTATGATGGGACGTCGTTGGTTTCGTCTTCGGTTGATTTGAACCTGCCTGTCATCTTCGTTGCAATGAACTACCGCGTGGGTGGCTTCGGCTTTTTGCCTGGCAAGGAGATCAAGGAGGATGGGTCCTCTAATCTTGGTTTGCTGGACCAACGTTTGGCTCTGGAGTGGGTGGCTGATAACATTGCGGCCTTTGGAGGAGACCCAGACAAGGTGACTATCTGGGGTGAATCGGCGGGCGCGATCTCGGTCTTCGATCAGATGGTGCTCTATGACGGCGACAACACCTACAAGGGTAAACCTCTTTTCCGAGGCGGTATCATGGACTCAGGAAGCGTTGTACCGGCTGATCCAGTTGACGGGGTCAAGGGACAAGCAATCTACGACACCGTCGTCTCGACTGCTAAATGCTCTTCTTCCAACGACACACTCGCCTGTCTTCGAGACCTGTCGTACGACGAATTCCTGAATGCCGTGAACTCTGTGCCTGGGCTGCTGAGCTACAGCTCCATCGCCCTGTCGTATCTCCCACGACCGGACGGAAAGGTGCTCACCGCATCTCCGGACGTCCTTGGCAAGGCCGGCAAATTCGCGCAGGTGCCTTTCATTGTGGGCGACCAAGAGGACGAGGGAACACTGTTCGCCCTCTTCCAGGGCAACATCACCACAACGGACGAGCTAGTCAAGTATCTCGCCGACTATTTTTTCTATGACGCCAGCCAGGAGGAACTCCAGGAACTCGTCGGCCTCTACCCAGACACCACGACCTACGGATCCCCGTTCCGCACCGGCACCGGCAACAACCTCTACCCGCAATTTAAACGCCTCGCTGCCATCCTTGGCGACCTGACCTTCACCATTACCCGTCGGGCCTTCCTGGCCTACGCCGCCGAGATAGCACCCAACCTACCGACTTGGTCCTACCTGTCGAGCTACGACTACGGCACTCCGATCCTCGGTACTTTCCACGGCAGTGATCTGATACAGGTGTTCTACGGGATCTGGCCCAATTACGCGGCCAAGTCCAGCCACACCTACTATTTCAGTTTCGTGCATGACCTCGACCCCAACGCCCACCGTGGCGTTTATCCGGAATGGCCCCAGTGGAAGGAGAATAGGCAGCTGTTGAACTTCGAGGCCAATGCGGTGGGTCTGATGGGGGATACGTTCCGCAACGGCACGTATGATTTCATTTTGGAACATGTGGATGCCTTCCATATCTAGCCATGTTGGTTGATGTGTGGTATATATATAATTTTGGATAAGTAGTTGATAATGAGGTATAATGAGAAACCTTTGGCTGAGAATTTCAACTTGAGAGATACGGCGTGATCTCACGAACAACGTAAATGCCCCAGAGGGGCTGTGAAAATCCAGTTGAAAAGAAAGGAATCAGGCGTTGGCCTTTTTGGGTCGTCCGGCCACGTGATCTCGAGCAAATCTCCAGGCAGGATTCTCTGTTTGCCTCCATGGGTTTCATCAACCATTTCACCAACCCTGAGGGGTCAAATTGCTTATTTTCTTGATCCTACTGTAATTCATGTCAACGAGCCCAGACTAGTCCCCAATAGTGCATGTAAACTCGAGAAAGAGGCGTGCTGATATCGAAAAAGATAAATTGTCGGGATATCAAGCTTGACTCTCCTCGATGCACAAGCTAACCAAGTCATCTACCCGATCCGCGATCCCCCAGCTCAACTTGTACCCGCTTGGACCAGCTCCATAGCAATGAACCACCGGGACCGACTTCTGTTCGTTCTTCATACCATTTTCAGCTGTATCCTGAAAGACAAGATGACCTTTCTCTAATCGCAGTCCACTATGTCGCATCGGACGTCGAGCAATATACACCTCGCGAACATCGAATCCCAGCGTTGGGCTGGTGCGATCCTCTTGGCCCCCGAGTAGTTCCGGGCACAGTGCTGCAGCTCTCGAAAGGATAGAAGTTGTTGCATTATCGGAGATGACATGCGACCTGAACCATCAGCACTAGACAAAAGAAGCAAGCGATGCACGTACCAATTATTCGGCTCCTTCGTCCCACCTATAATCGTGCCCCCACCAAGGGGCCTAGGGATAATGACGGTCGTCGATCCATCCGACCAATGATGGCTCACAGTCTTGTCACAGCGATTAGCAACCGCAATAAACTGCCCTCGAGAGGGGTACGACTGCGGATCATCGAAGCCACGCCCACTGGCGTTGACCACCGCAAGAATCCCCCGATCCTTGTGGTATTCCTGTTCCCGATACACGAAGACCGCCTCCTCGAGCGCTACCAGATCCCGACAAATGAATTGGACCCCGAGCTTCTCAGCTTGGCGTTCCAGCCATCGTAAATACATAGGCGAGTTCAACACCCAAGCGGTATACGTCACTCCAAGCTTGATCGACTCATGCCCCTGTGGGTACTCCCGGGATTCGAGAACGCGGAAGCCGGGCCACGAGGCGTAGCCGTTTTCCTGGGTGAGCTTCGGGTCGAAGTAGGCCGGGTCCGCCACGTCGAAGAATTCCACGCCAGGGACGAATTGTATGCTGGCCTCGGGATGGATTGCCGACAATCGTTCAAGCTCTCGGTAGGTTTCTCGCATTAGTGTCTCCTCGAGACGGTCCTCGGGTTTGGTGCTGGGAACAGGTCGGAAATGTGCACCGGCCCATGGGGAGGCATAGTCGATGTGGAGGTCTCCGGGGAATTCTTTGGAGATGATGGTGACGCGGTGGCCGCGCTGAGCGAGGCGGATGGCGCTGCTGAGGCCGATGACTCCTGCGCTTCGTGGGTCTTAGTGCGCTAGATTCTACAAAAAAAGGTGCGTTTAGGCCTACCCGACAACGATGACTGAGGTTCTATTCATAATGGCGAAGATGAAGATACAAGAGAAGAGGGTAGGCTGTTGTAATATAACAAGGAGTGAGGTACTTCCGTTTGACCTCGGATGTGTTGTCGGTGTCTCAATTCGGTGGCCCCGTGACCTGCGTGACTCATTATACCATTACACTCCTTACAACTCCCTCTACAGCGAGCATTCGTCTAAGCTTGATCCAGCTCGAATACCCAGATCAAATCAACTGTTGTCTAAAGTGATCGCATGGAACAACTTAATTGAATCTAATACCCGTTGAAACCACTCACGGTATAATACTTATCAATGGCATGCCAAGTCACAGTTGATGGACAGCGAGGGAGCCATAATTCTTACTTTGTAAGACCTCTTATGATTGTTGCATTGTAAGTACATTGCACCAAGTCGTCGAGCGATCATGGCATTCTTAAACTAGCTATGCATAGAGAGAAGTTGCTCTCATCCCGGCAGCAAGCGAAAAGTTGGATATTGTGGAAAGAAGTCGAGAACAAGATGGGCTCTTTGAGCAAGACATCCGAGCACAACCAGTTATGTTTTATAGCACCCTGCGAAATATGCTTGCGCGATATCACCATGGCTTGACAGCGAGAGCATGCACCAGATCCGAATCACATTTGCGGAAGAGTTATCTGAGTGCCTAGCATCCTCACACTTCACGAAGACAACCACAAATGACATCTCTCGCAATGCGGGGAGTCAAGCTCGCTCTTGTTGTAATTCCTAATCTGCCCACATTTGAGACAAGTGCCTTTCAACACAAAGTCATAGCCATTATACACAACGGCCAATTTGTACCCCATCACCGCCTGTTCGAACCGATTGAGCAGGGCCACCTTCTCGTTCGACAATTCCTTGATTTCGCCCTCCATGTCTCGTTTTCTATTCTGCGTCAAGCGGAACACCCGTCTTGATAGGTCGTTTGCAAAGAACCGGGCCGGGAACTCTTGATGAAGAAGGTCCTCCAAATGATCGAACACAATTGTGGCCATCTTGCTACGAAGAGTTTCATCGTTCACCTCGAAGGCTAAATTGACGGCCTCTGCAAAGCCTTCGGACGACCATGGTATCTTGAGGACCTCATCCACCTTTACGAGAATGAGATTCTGCAGCGGTTGAATATCGAAGTAATCCGCAATTGCAGCAACACGGAGGTGGGGCATCAGTGCTTCGGATAAAATAGGGTGGTTTTTTAAAGTAACAATCCCTGTCTCAGTCAGCTCACTCGCTCTGTTTCCAATATTCCGGACGGTCACCGAGGTCAGACTGAGAACAGCAAAAGAGAAAGAGTGAAGAGAAATGTACCGTAGTCATCACGCGTCTCGTTCTCTGTGGTGTAGTCTCCGGTATAGAGGTATTCCCTCAGAAGTTCCACAGTGGATGGTTCAAATCCGTCGATGGAGTATACGCGAGTGGATGTCTCCTTTGGGTTGACATTTGAATTGAGAGTTAACGTCGCTCGTCTATTATGGAGACTGACTGCACTCACCTTGAATCCCCTCTCACATGCAGCCTTGATGGCGGCGACTTGCGGGTAGACGATGACACGGTGGATGGGAAACTTGATGCCAGCGCACTCTAGGGTCAAGTCCGTGTACTCCCCCTGTTTGGCCGACTCGTATTGAGTGACTTGTAGAAGGCTCGGCAAGATAGTGAACCTTGTATATCCGTAGATATCAGACCGAGAGGTCAAAGCGGATTATTCGAGAGTCGTCGTTGGGGATGGCAGTGGTATGTTCCAGCCTGGTGGGTGTAACGGGTTGCGAGTCGAGCCACGCTCGCAAGAAGGAGGAAGATCCTCTTAGCCATCCCAGGAAATATGAGAAGAACCCCAGGGTGATGTGAGAGTGAGGTGATGACCGATTGAACTATCATGGCGAGGTTTCCTGGGTCAGGTTATGCTGAGTTGTGACGGACAGGAGAACGAAACATAGTTGCGCGCCAAAATCTTGACAAATGCTTCGGGAGGACCTTTTAAGAGTCTTCTAGACCTTTGATCGAACTAGGGTGCCTCTTTCATGTCAGTCATTGGTCCAATGCCTCAGCAGGCCGACAATGACCATTTGCTGCTTGCGTACCTTATCAGCCCGAGATAATCTCGGAACCCCGCGCGATAGCAACCCGTAGTACCCGTATCAATGCATCTCTTATGGTTTCCCCTTGAGGATAGCTCGCTCTTGGCCGATATCAGTACTGCATGTACACCAAAGTTATAAGTATTAGCGACTTGACCAAAGAATAGCTCAACCTCGTATAAGCAGTTACCAAGATGTTGTCAACGTGGGTGGCAGCGGCTCTTATACTATGTTCCTTCCTTATCAAACGGCTATATTCTCCCATTGCCAAAATACCCGGCCCATGGCTCACCAAATTCACGAGCCTAACGATCAAGTACCATGAGTTCAGCGCCAATCGTCGCATGTACATTCACCAACTCCATAAGCAATTCGGACCCGTGGTTCGTTTAGCCCCGAACGAGGTGTCATTTGCGACTCTTGATGCCATCCGCGAGATCTACGCATCGGGCGGGAGCGGCTACGATAAGACTGAATTCTACGACATGTTCCGCCAGTTTGGGGTCAAGTATGCTGCTTCGTCTGGTGTGGGGGGTGTATTTGCTAATGCCTGCTAGAACTATGTTTTCGACTCTGGATAAATACTCGGTCCGTTACCACGTATTCCAGGAGGAAGAAAGCTAACAGTGAGCAGCATAGTCAGCGCAAGCGGGAACTGGCCGATAGATATGCCATGTCAAATATCCTGCGCGAGAGCCACGTATCGGCCATTCGCGACCGCGCACAGGCTTTTGTTTCGAGATGCACTACTGTAGCTAAGAGTGTAGATGTTTATGTACGTATCCTCAGTCAAGGTAAGGCTGGCGCTGACAGTTTTAGGCTTTTCTCCATTGCTACGCTCTTGACTGTGTGACGCACTTCATGTTCAGCCCAAGAGGGCTGTATTCTCTCACCAACGGGAAGGATTTCGAGATCATGGAGGAGTTGACCTACCACCATAGCCTGCAGAGTATGTTTGTCAGCCACAAGCCGACAAAGTACTGACCTGCACAGAGAACCTTCTTCACCACTACCTCCCCACACTCAGCCCATACTTCCCCAGCTGGGTCAAGCCGCGTCGCGCGCCCAAGACTAATGCGTACGTCCAGAGCATCACAACGCAAGAGCATCCAGACGGCCACAGTCTTCTCGGCCGCCTCAATCGGAGGGACTCTCCACTGAGTCACGATCAAGTAGCGGCTGAATGCAAAGACCACATGGCCGCGGGGATTGACACGACAGGAGATGGACTGTGCTTTCTTATGTGGGAGTTGTCCCGACCACAGAGCTGCGAATTCCAGGACAAACTCTACGAGGAACTGCGTACCACGGCACCGGACACACCGCTCGATAAGCTGGTATACCTTGACGCGGTCATCAAGGAGGGACTTCGCTGTGCGCCGCCCATCCCGATGTCGTTCCCTCGGTATGTTCCCAGCGGCGGACGGACGATCGATGGGACTTTTGTCTCCGAGGGGACGATCGTCAGCTGTCAGCCGTATACTGTCCATCGTTTCGATGAAGATGTTTTTCCTGAACCGGATCGATTCAATCCGGACCGATGGATGGACGAGAGCGGAGCAACAGAGCGGAATCGGATGTTCTTTGCGTTCGGGACTGGAGGGCGGGGCTGCACCGGGAAAAAGTAGGTGGCCTGAGATTGTTTCTATTCCTCCTCATCCCTCTCGACCGCTTCCTTTGCTTTCATGTCATTTAACTCTTTTCTTTTCGTTTCTTCTCAAGGGTCAACGTAAGCTAATGTCTTGCAGCCTCGCTACAGTGGAGATGAAGATCCTCCTGCGGGAGGTCTATTCGAGGTATCGCACTACGGTGGCCGCTGATATGACTGGGTGTATGCATATTGATGATCAGATAATCTCTGCGCGACCTAAGGGGCAGGCATGCAGGTTGACTTTTACGGCTAGAGAATAGACTAAGTCGACATGTTGTGGATTGTCATTTTGTCGACTTGCTATATACAACATTCTAGGCTAAACCATTGTATTTCCCTTTCTAGTTTTAGTTTAACAACGTTGTTCACACCTTTACTCTTAATCTTTGATACCTCTTCGGATATGTACCTACTATAGCTCAGGTACTAATCCATGAGCCATCAGCCTTTAAGCATCCAAGAACGTCGTCGAATTCCAATCGGAAGCCATCTAGAATTCACATCAGCACAGGGCATTGGCATCTACACGAACTCCACTCCACCTGATGAAGATCACACCACCCGATGAAGAGAAATGTACTCACATTCCAAGCATCAATCCTCAAGATAGACGTCGAATTGATATCCGCCGCATGGGTAAGCACCCCAATCGCTAGTTAGCCTGTTAGCAATATCTCACCACGCACCACGCACAATGAGCCCCAACTCCAGCCCAGCTCGTCACCTCCCAATAGACAAACAATACCTACCGACGACATTATTCAACCAATAATACTTCCGACTGCCCGTCTCAAACACCAGGCGCAGATGCAGCTGCCCACTCGGCGACTTGGGCCCCGACGTCTGGATGAAGATGTCCGCCCCATCGTCGGTGCGGAGGTTGTACCGCGTATCGGCGGAGAAGATGCCCGTGGCGGGGTCGACGAGGCCCCAGTCGGCGCCTACATCGAGGATTTTGCCTTCAGGTTGTTAGGCTGTTGACTGATCTGGGGTAAGAGGTAAGCGGGGAGTGTGGAGGATTCGTACCTGATAGTCGTGGGCCGGTGAAATTGCCGCCGACGATGGGAATGGCCTTGCGGGTGCCGTGGGGCCCCGGGGAGAGCATGAGGGTCTCGGTGCATTCTACGTAGGCGGTGTAGAGGAAGGAGAGGGCGGGGGCCGGGGGTGGCGGTGAAGGAGTGGCTCTAGCGGCGACGAGGGGGGAGAGGGAGAGGGCAAGGGCGGTGGTTAGCCAGGTGGTGAGGGCTGGGAGGTGCATTTTATCGTTGCATAGACTTCTCCAAGGAGGTAGAGGGTGTGATTGAGCTCAATGCCATTGTGGTTGAAGAAGAGAAGCTGATATTTATGCCTCTCGATCCTACGAATGATGCCTCGGGCTGTAGGATATACTGTATTGCTGTATCTTAATACTGCAGCTTACGGTGCGTTCGAGGTACAAGAAGTCCCGTCTATTCAAGCCGAATGGAGAATTAGATGAAATCATGTTCTCCACTGGGGCAGACGATCAGGACTCAATACGGGGGTTCCCCGCATTCTAACCGAGCTCGCGCAGCGCTTTACCCCGCATGTCGTCTGCATGCAACTGAAGATTAGGTAAGCAGTAGCTATGCATAGACTATGCAGAGCTGTACCCTTGTGCAAGAATTGATCAGTATCACCGACAAGCTTCTCAATCTTCCTTCATCCAACCAAGACACCCGCCTCCCAGAAATGCCTGTGTAGATGACCGGCCCAACCAATTCCACACCACCTACCAAAAGCCAAAAGAATCCTAGAGGGAACTAAAGCGTCGACCGAAACACCCCCCCATCATTCGAGCACGCATCCTGATCCGAGACGATTATCCCCTTGCACGCCCCGAGCACATTCAGCGTCATGGAGCAGTCCACCACGATATTGCCCTCGGGGTTGGGGTCGGAGCAGGGGCAGTTGTGGATGGCCCGCAGGTAGCCGCAGTACGCCTTCACGCCGTCCGGCGTCAGCCCGACGCAGGTGTCGGTCGTCAGGATCTTGCCGAAGAAAATGTAGCGCGTTGTCACGGATATTGGGGGGGTGGTCTTGGGGTGAGGGGGTTGCGGCTTGCGTGGTGGCTGCTATCAGCGCGAGGGTTGGGAGGAGGGTTTCTTGTTCCGGTTTGCGGGGTGTTAGTGGGATGGCGGGGGATGGCCAAATGGGAGGAAGGAAGGGGGCTCAGGTGTTGAGGGTTGAGTGGGATGAAGGGTTTGAAGGAAGAGTTGACTGCCAGGTGAGTAGAGTACTTACTAATCTTCATTGTTGATGTTCTTCCAAACTGAACCTCTTTTATAATGCAGTGGTATAGGTGTATCGACTAGCAACTTATCCTTTGAACACAGTGATGAAGGGAAATGGCCAACTGAGAGCCATCATTAGTGCCAGTGATGGCGGCGGCTGTTGAAGTAGTATTATATCCCAGACCCCAGGAGACACAGCTGCACGAGAGTGGCATAGGCCGGATCGAAACATCGCCATCCCTGTTCGTCGCTGGCGGTCTGGAGAACCACATGATCAGGACCCAAATCACGCTGCTTTCAAGTCGTCATAAGCTAAACAAGAGCTTCCATTTAGGCAAGGATGGCTGGACAATGTCTTGGTGCACGTGGTGGAGGCACTAACCATCCACCCTCACTTCGAGGAGCTTGTTGCTCCTATTATTACCAAATCATCAGATACAATCATTCGCCTTGCGATGGCAGTCCTCCAATTCTGAGTCGTAAGGAGAAGTCATGCGATATTTCTCCAGACATCATACCACGAAGATCGTTGTCCTTTGCATGCATGACTCCGGACCGCTCTACGATATACCGATCATAGAGCGGGTCATACTGCGCATGAGGAGACTTGCAACTTAAATACCTTGCTATTTGATCCAATAACGGACTCTTCATACTCAGGGGCTGATTTGTCATAAGAAGTTTCTGTTAAGCACATACACATGTTCCACATTTGTGACTCTAGTCAGGCCCTTTCCGAATGGGTCATCTTATCATGTGACCATTCTAGAAGAATAAGCACTTCCGCTCGCAGGAAAGTCAGCAATGTATTATTGTGCCAGCAATAACGACCCACCTGGTGGTATGAATAGAATGGACCTTCTTTTGACACCGCTTCCAGCAACTGACTCAGCCACCTCCTCGTAACCTTAAAACCCGAGCCCATGAACCATTTCATTGTCAAAGACGGCAGCACCACGAACCACGGGGCGACCAGGGTATACGGGCCGGAACCGTATCTAGTCCCTGATCTTAGTCCCGCATTTGGATGTCTTGCCACGGCGTCGGGCTCGGATGTTGTATCCGCAGGATCTGGCAATCTAATTCGAACCTTTTCTCTGCAGTCAATTACGCTTCGGACAACTTCCATATGGCGATTGGTATCTCATTAAAGTCGAGGTCAGAACATTAACAAACACCAAATGTACCCTAAACATCCCTCCCAAGGAAGGAGCGTGCTAGGTATCCTCTCCTTTCCTACAAACCAGAAATTGACAGAAGGTGACACATCAAGCACTCAAACAACAACCGGATACAGCGGCATAGAGAAAACAAAAGAATCATAAGCAGAAGGGAAAAGGGAAAGAAACCAAGCAAAGGAGTTCCACACCCAACCCCGCCAATCCACCAGAAATCCACTCATGCTCTACCGATTTTAACACTTGGGTAGTTTTACCGATGCTATTCCACACGTACATTAACCCCGGTTCGGCAAAAACAAAACAGGGAGAGGCAACGTACCGAATCCAGAGCACGGCTGCACAGCGGGATCATTCCGTCGGACCCAGGAGCTTCCAGCCCCGAATTGTCCAACTCTTATCCAGGTCCTAGGTTATCAATGAGTATGAATGCTTTCACGAAGAAAGGCCTAAGGAAGCAGGAGCATACTCGTCGGTCAGGATCTGACACGTGAAGGTGACCCTAGTGTTCTTGGCGAAGGTAGGCCCGTTGACCGCACAGGGCGCGGGAAGCTTCTTGCTGACGATTTGCCCGAAGATCGAGCAGGAGACTGGACCTGTGGTGGCCTGGCGGGCTTCGATCTCGGGCTCGGGCTCGGGGTCCGCAACGGGGTCGGGTTCTGCTTCCGGGGCGGCGAGGATGGTGGCGGGGAGGAGGGCGGCGAGGAGATATGGGGTAAGCTTCATGATGTGCTGGTATTCTTTGTGGTGGGTGTATCGATTTATGTCGCTGTGGGAGATGGGGACGATCGTGAAGTAGGGCGAGGGATGTGGGGAACTTTATAGTCGGTGGTGGATCCTACTATTTCCATGGACTACACAACTAGTCATTCTGCATGTAAGGCTGTGCTGAGTGGAATCCGCTCGTACTGCCTCACTTGACCTTCGTCGCCGAGAAGTGTTCCACTGGTCAAGACTATCCTGTCAAGATATATTGTAGATCATCCGAGGAGGTCCCCAGGTTTCGGAGCTGAGGACCCGGGGTTCCACCGTCTTGGCGGAACCCCACGGTCTGGCCCTATACGAAGTCGGGAACAAAAGGTGCGGCTGAGCTCGATATTAGATAATCTTCGCGTACTCGAATACTGATCAACGATATTTTTAGGCCGGAATAAGGATGCACAGCACGACGCTTGTGGCAGTGTATGATACCGGTTCTGGCGAGAAGATACGGCCAAGTTTGTCACGGCGAGAGCCTGGACTGTAGTCCCGGGACTTCGGAACCTCTCTTGGCATTCTCCGCCCACTCTTTGCTGCTCGTATATTCCCTGTCAGTTACCATAGGACCATAGGATATCCGTGATTACACAGCATCTCAACAATTGTGGGTAGAACAGTTGTGCTCTCTGAGTCTACGATCATTGGCTTCATGTTATCCCCTGCAGCTGCAAAGTGACTGTTGAATAAAATTTTCAATTGTAAATGAGTGTATCGGTTAAGCTATCTATAGAACCAAATAGCCCTCCATCGATTTTCATTATCCTTGTCTGCAGGCAGCAAGCTCAGACAGCAACCTTAGCAAGGTCAACCGCAATGCAGTCGGTAGGAAGCGCGGCACCGGAGCGGGTGGCGTAGATCATGTAGGTAGGCGGACCCGCGGCGTACAGAGACACGTGAGGACAGGCGAAGAACTGACCCTGGCTCCATTCAAGGGCGTTGTCGCTGCCCGTGGTGAAGCCCTGGGTCAGACCTCCGGCGGCGATGCCGTCGGTGCTCTTGAGGTCGACATGGCCGTCGGTGCCAACGTAGACTGATTTCCTTGGTCAATACACGAAGAGGCGAGAAGGGAGTGATAATGTGCAAAACTCACCGACATCACCGTTCTGGATGCCCAGAGAACCATTCCCGCCGGTGAAGTTGATCCCATGTTCACCTGCAGGAGCCAGGATGAAGGCGTCGCCCTGGCTGATGAGGGCGCGGCCCTTGAGCTCGGTGGCGCGGGACTGAGCGTTGCTGATGACTAGCTCGAAGAGGGAGGCGCTGGAAGAGGCGGCGGCAGCAGCGGCAAACGCGCTGGAGATGACAGCGGACAGAGCGAAGACGGTCTTCATTTTGAAGGTAGAAGATTGAGTGGATTTGGAGATTGGAAGAGTGATTGTATGTTGCAATGTTTGTGCGTTGCTGATGGAATGATGAGAGAAAAGATGATACCTTACTGCCCTTTTATATGTCCCAAGTCCCACCAGGGTTGTCATCTTCTACACCCTTCATTACAAATCCAGCTCTAGGTCAGAAGATTGCAAGGTGGAGTAGTGCCATATTAATCCACCAAGGTTCTCACAATGTTTCAGATGCCATTGACAGATGATACTAGCAAGCCACCCTATCACCTTCTACTCATTTGCAGCCAGGGTCCTTAGAGTGTCTCACCTGTTGTGGAGAACTGACCAAATCAGACTAACTATTGCTCTACGCATATTAACTGACAAGGTGCTCAATCATGCTTTTACCTGAGACATGATGTCAAGAACTGTGTATCATAGGGTCCTACAGACAGGTTCGCGATCATGTCAGCACGATCCATCTGGGAACGAATCAGAGCCCCATCCGGCAGTTACAACGGTCCAATGGGCATCATGTGGTAAGCAGAACAGCCTAGAGGCGATAAAGATCGCCTGGGACGACGTGCAGAATCTACGAGATGGTACGATGTGGATCCAATGGCTTTAAGTCAACAGATACACAACAAGCGAAACAGCAGACTCATGTTGAATGAACCGACCGTAGCGGAGCTTTCCGTTCTTTCCCCTGCTCAATCAAACCCCGAGCATCTTCCCGGCCGACACAACCTGACCCCTTCAAATCCTCCAAGCTCGAGGAGAAGCTGACCACGACAACCGCTCAGCTACAGACAGCTGTGAGCCGGATGGTGTCGAGGTTGCAAGTATGTCTCGCCCCACACTAGTTCTGGTTAATACATCTTCTTTTGCGAAATGAGAAAGAAACTCACGCGGTGGTTGTTGGGGCACGGAGCGTGATAGACGCTTCCCGGGCGCTTCTGCGCAGTGCACTGCTGCGTCACGCTGCTGCAGGTCTTTGTGTCTGTGTCAGCAATGCTTCTTAAAAGAGTTAAAGCTGACTTGCCCCTCGCAGGATCTCCTGGATGGAGGCATCTCCATCTACCTCAGCCGGCGCATCCGCAACGTCGTCGACCGGGACGGCGAGGCCAACTCCGGCACACAGAAGGCCGAGAAGGGAGAGAGAGATGATGCTTGCTTTCATGGTGGCGATTCTGCTTTATTGCAACTCGGACTAACGATGCGCTCGATAGGCTGACTTGCTGCTCTGGGGATGGATACCTCAAGAATCGCAGACGACAAGCGTCCTTTTATACCCGCGAATCTCCCACTCCGCTCCACAGACATACTCGACCACTTCATATTCTTGTCCATCACTGTGGGAATAGTGTTCCTGGCGGAGAGAAACTAATCCAACGTAAGCATTTGGCGTTGCTTGACATGACCATTCAGGATCGCGGGCTCACAGCCGTACTTCGCTTCTGTCGCACAAAACTCGTATACTTTTGGGGTTGAAGCCGCCCCCAAACGCATGGATGCAGCTGCTCACAACTCAAAACTGACTCGATGATGTACTCTGTACCTCTCTCCACCATGCTGGTGGCCACATCCCCGCAGTCTCGGAGGGTACAGGCACGACTGAATGGAACATGGTGGTGGGACAAGGCGTCCCGTGGCCCCTCGGATGGTCTGCAGCCGCCTGCACAACAGTTGCCATCGGAACAAATGGAAGAAGAGACTGCCAATCGCCTGCCTTCTCGAGACCGCGATTTCTTATTCGTGGTTGCAGACCGGACGGGCGAGAGGGCCGAGGATCAGATTAGGGCTGCAGCCCAGTCGACCTCCTGCAGCCAACCAGAATGGACCGTTGTAGGAGGCCTGTGATTGGCTGCACCCACTTGCATCATCGCCCTCAGAGGTTCTATTTAACCAGCTTGTTATCCACAGCAATCTCCCTCCCACTCCTCTTTATCAAGTCTTCTGAGTGCGAATCATCAGACAAGATGCTCTGCAGATACTGTGACCGGATCTTCCACTGCTCCACCTGGAGCGGCCCCCATCATCCCGATGCTGCCTCCTTGGCCGCGGCAGCCAGCAGCGGCTGCTACATCTGCCAGCCTATACTGCACGATCGATACCAGCATTGCGACTCCCTTGACGGGAGCTGGGGCTATCGCATCTATGTCAGCCAGGGCTACACCCAGGTGATCCTAGACCACCAGAGGGACGACCCGCAGCCTCAAGAAGGCACCCCATTCTGCTACACTCTGATAGCCATCCCAAGCGCCACCATCCCATTCAATCCCGTCCCCCGTCTTAGGGACCCTGCCGCTCGGATGCGCGATGCTAGCACTGCGGTGGAGAACTGGATGAAGCGCTGCCAGATTGAGCACGCTTGTGCTCGGATCTCCCAACCAGAGTACTGCCCATCGCAGCTCTTGGAGACATCGGGTGGTGATAACGTCCGCTTTATCACTTCAGTCGAGACCGGACTTAAGAGACCGTACGCGGTGCTGAGCTTTGATTCCTCCACGACAGAGGAAGGGGAATGGTTCTCTACTGTGGAAGCTTTGCGCATCACTGGCGTGCGCATTCCTGATCTTCCAGCAGCGATCGGTGAAGTCATCACTCTCCTGCTTTCAATTGGAATCAACTACGTGTGGATTGAGCAATTGTGCCGTCGACCAGCGGATCAGCTTGATCAGAGCAACGTCGAGCACGAGAAGCTTCGTCTCTACTCCAACGCTGCCCTCACCGTTGCGGTGTCCACATCCGAAGATCCCGCGCAAAGCGTCTTCAGTAATTTCCCAGCAACCTTGCACGTCCAGCGCCTCCCCTTCCAGGTCACCAATGTGACTGGAGTTATGAACGAGGGTTTCATAAGCAACAATAAAGATGATGGTGATCACTCCCCAAGCTCAGACCTCACCATCATCCCCTGGACATACCTCGCGCAAACCCTGCACCACCAGCACAACTCCTCCGTATCAATCCAAGATCGCCTCGCCACTCCCCGCCTGCTGACGATTTTCTCCTCCGCTGCAGAAGTCTTCTGGGAATGCACCTGCCTCACCCCCGCTAGTGAGACTTTTCCCAGTGGTATTCTCCCTTATCTCCCGCCTTCCCTTTTGACGGGAGCGGACCGCTTCCCCCATCGGGACATCGCTATCCCTACTGATGCGGACTGGTCCACCCTGCTGAGCCTTTGGTATAGGGTTGTGGACGAGCACACTGCTACCTTTGCTGATGCAGGAGGAAGGATGGACTCGGAGAAGAAGTTGGCGGGTTTGGAATGGGTGGCCGGCGAAGTGGGGAAACGGATGAAAGCCATACGGATCTCTGAAGTCGAGGACGAGGGGGATATTGCAAAACGGGAGGAGGCAGCAGAGTATCTGGCGGGACATTTCTGGGGATCGATGCCTTTGTCGCTCGGCTGGAGGGTTGGTGGTGCAGGTGTTAGTGAAAGTGCATGTGGAAAGAAAGACGGTGGCATGCCCAGTTGGAGTTGGGCGTCTGTTCAAGGAAGAAGAGTGCTTTCCCCGCAGGAATTGGGGGTAAGGGATGAGCAGCAGTGTCTGGCTGAAAAGGTGGGATATCATCGAGACTCACCAGAGGGAGAGATCATCAGGCTCAGTTTGAAAACATTTGTGCTTGACGCGCAGTTGGTCTGTGGTGGAGGAGACAGGGTAAAGGTGACGGGGTGGGAGGGTGAGAGGTATTGGGTTGAGGTAGAATGGGATGGTAAGGATGAAGAAGAACCATCAACTTTGCGGTTGGCAGTGCTAGTAGAGGATGAGTGGCTGAGACAGTGGAGTGGACTCGTGCTGAGGTGTGTTCCTGGTGATAATGTGAGTTGTCGGAGGGTCGGATATTTCACGCTGAACATGGTGCAGGGAGATGATTGCGGCGAGGGGAGGTGGAAGGCTGATTTTCAGAGAGTAGCTGGTGATCGTAAGGAAGTTGTGACTTTGGTTTGATTATTCTGACTGATCTGCTTTTTTTCTCACTACTTTTCGCTCTTTTTTTTCTCACTGCTTTCTCTCTTTTTTTTTCTTTTCCTTTTTTTTTATTCTAGTGGCGACGCAGATTTAGGATATGGAGGGCTGGTAGACTGAATTTAGTGCCCGTTGTTGATTTCTTCGCTCCTCCTTCCCTGCAAAGAATACCTAGTAGGCATTGAGGCAAGCAAGAAGCGCAAATCGAATTATGCAGTAGGCACCATCTCCCATACAAGTAGAATGCCCCCCCCCACAGAAAGCAAGTAATAGTTGTGCCGTCATGTATAAGACATTAACTGATAGAGGCTTTAAGATTGTATCTCAAGCCTACGCTTCATCCAGAATGTGTTTGTCGATAAGCCAAATCAACCAAACACGCCTATGCTATTCTCTCTACTGATGCTAATGCATACTAAGTAGGTAACCTCTACCGACTAAACTCCGACATCATAATCAACCCACTCCGCGAACTATACTTCTCCCCACTCACATCCGCCGGCAACAGCTCCGCATCCCCGTTGGCCACCAGAGCCTCGGCCAGCGTACACTTGCCCGACACCCCAAACCCCAAACCCCGATATAAGCCCACGGTCGCCTGATTCTCGGGTTTGACCATCAGCCGCACCCACACCTTCGACGGGGACGACCGATATGAAGCCAAGTACTTCAACGCCTCCTGACACAGTCTTTTCCCGAGTCCACACCCGCGATAATCCGGGAGGGTGAACAGGCTGAGCATCTGCCAGAGTTCCTCCCCCTCCTGCCCTGGCTCTGCAGTGAGAAGGGTAGGTCTCTTCTGCCCCGACTCTTCAGGCAGGATAAATTCCTCGGGCCTGAGTGCGCGTAGGGTCAATTGACCCACCCAGATACTCTGGTCTCCCCCTTCTTGTGTACTTGCTGGATCCCGATTCCCAGTGCAAGGGGTTGCCGCACAGATGAACGTCTCCTTCCCATTCAAGGCGAGGCGGCTCACCCATCCGTCTTCCGGAATGACAGCTTCGATTTCGTAGGTCGAGGAGAACGAGGCCGGGGCGACGCACAGGGCGCGCAGGCGGAGTTGTTGGTATTTCTGGGCGGAGGCCCTCAGGGTATCATCTTTGGGGATGCGGAAGAATGTGTATTCGTAGGCCGGGAGAGAAGTCATCTTTGTTGGTTGAGATTGCTTTTTTTTTTGGCTTTTTTTTTTCTCGTGCGCTTATCTTTCTTGGCTTGCTGCTCCTTTGAATTTGTGGAAGTTGGACGCTAGAGAAGAGTTGGGAAGCTGGTATTATTATCTCGGCACTAAGTCTGTTGACGGGGTCTAAATATACTTTGGCGCGATAAGGATCGCTTCTAATGTTGGAGCTATTTATGGACCCGACCGCGGCAACTACCGAATCGCCGGCGCGCAGTGGAAGGGTGTGTGGGGAGTTTTGGATACATGATCAGTAATCATAATTCCGTAATCGGAAAATCGCGCACCTTTGGGATGATACTATTACTCTGATCTTATAGTCACTTTGCTGTGGTTGCCTGAGGTAGGAACCGCGTCAACGATTCTCAGACAGCGGTCGCGGTCGCGGCCGTCAGTCTGGCCCGACATGACAGCGAACAAGCTTTGAGCCTGCTTCCGTAGCTTGGTCTGGCTTCGTCAACCGTCTTTCTACTTTGACAATAGATATTTCAGCTCGGGAATAGTCTAGCACATACGACCACAGGGTGTGGAAAACAGGGCTTCCCGTCCGCTCAGCCGTACTTAAGCCACACGCCGGGAGGTTAGTAGTTGGGTGGGTGACCACCAGCGAATCCCTTCTGTTGTATGTTTTTTTCTTTTTTGCGTCATGAATAATTTCATATATACCTCGACTCTTCACATTCCCAAAACAACACTCAATATCCCCCACGCCTGATGTGGCAGCAAGGTCACTCGTTCGCTTCAACTACGCAGCTTAATCGTCGACGAAGTGGGTCTCGAAGGAAGGATCTTTTATCAATGAGATGGAGAAAAGGAGTGCTCGAACGAAAGCAACAAAGACTGATTCGGGGATATTGATATTACAAAGAGGTGCTACACAAGCTCTAGTTCGGATCCCGAGTGAAGATGAAGGTTTGCTGCTCATTCGCAAACACCGCCACGCATTCTCGATCCCGGAGGGCTTCTACCTCCATTCTCTCCCACTTGACAGCAAATTTCTCCTCGGTCTCATTGGCCTCCATGTCAACCACGTCATCCGCGGTACATAACCCGAACTGTCTGACCCCAATGCCCAACTGGCCAGAAAGCCCATCGCCAGCCGACCACAAAGATCCGTCAGTGGCGACAGCTACGACATGCCGGCCACCCGCAGCTGCATGCTTCATTCGCAGACTATGTGTCTTTGCAAGCTTGTCAGGAGGAATGGTCGCGGGTTGAAACTCGAGAGCCTTCCTGGGATTGGCATCTTCGATGTCCGGCCAATGCCCGCGTTTCGAACCCATCACATAAAGGTCGCCAGTGTGTGTGATCGCAGTAGCATAAGCGCGACCCGTAGATGGCTCTTTGATGGGCAGAAGGGGCAGTTTGTGCGGCTTGTAGTTGAGCCGTCTTGGGGGTCTAGCAGGCCACGAGGTAATAGGCCCGTTCAAAATACGGGCCGCAAATTCAGCTTGCCCAAATCCTTCTTCATCGTCGGGGACAGCGGGTGGTTGTTCCAGAAGCTCGTCTCCCCATTGGAAGACTTCGCCTGCCTCCGTGAGCGCGGCAAATTCCGATGTCAACTGGATCACGGGAGAGGCAAAGGTAGCGGCGTGAGTTGGAGGGGGGCTGCCGATGGGATTCTCCAGAAAGGAGCACATGTGCTGCCATGAACCCCACGAGAGAACTGTTTTCCGATCATCTGCAAAGACCATCGCTACCGCTCCGGAGACCAAATCCGGGTTCCAGTCGCCGACTCGTCTTGCAGCAATGTGTTTGATGCCTTTGTCATCAATCCTGTGGGAGCCGGACTTCCTGGCGGTTAGATGACTCCCATCTCTGAGCAGGAAAGCGAACCCGTCTGCAAGTCAGATGATATGGATGAGGTTCTCCGTGCCCGCCTCCATTACCCCCGCTCGCTGAGATTTGGATAGAGACCCCCACCCAAAGTGTCTGAGGTCTCCGTCCACGTCGAAAAAGGCGGAACCGGTATCGCAGTTGATGGGGCGAATCTCTTTTCCTTCGAGGACTTTCTTCGGTCGCAGAACCCACAGAGGACAATGCGGGGTGTACTCCAGGTCCAGGTCGGGATGCCCGCGATGATGAAAGGCAACGTTCCGTCTCCGACAAGCTCGTGGCTCCCCGAGAGAGCCGTCGCTGTTCTCACCGCAGGCGAAGAGTTGCATCTTTGTTAATGGATAAGATGTGGAAGGAGTTCTGGAGGAGAAAAGATTTCCAAGTTGGTGGTGACTACCAGAAAGCTGCACAGTGCTGACTGCCGCTTATTAACCAGGGGTTGTTTCTATTTGGTTTGTTTCACTACGCGCGGTAAAATTGTAGGCAGAAAGTATTTGCACACCCGCCCTCCTGAAATCTTTCCTTTCGTTTCAACACCTAATCAGACTCTCCCAATATTTGGACTATGCCATTGTTTTTTGTTACCTATGTGGCTAAGAAACTCACTAGACTCTCAGACAAGTTATTTAGACAGAAAAACCTTGTCCGCTTTGTTGTCCGTTAAGAACTATCGACCTCGGAGCAGCAAAGAGATGACAGCCGTTGCTCGATGAAGAGAGAAGCATTGAGGACGAAGAGGTTATATAAAAGATACTCAAACTTACGAGCATAAACAAGACACAATCGTTCATTCATCAGTATTTCAACGCCTGCGAAACAACTGAAAGCATGAGAATCTATAGCATGATCTATACAGTACAGCACACCTGCCCTCTTTCAATCCCGGTAAGCCGTGACAGGCTCCTCTCTGAACTCAGTCATCGCCACCTCGTCCGTGACCGCCAGCTCGCCCATCCCCAGTTCCGTCTCCGTGAACTTCAAATCTGAGAGACCATACATCGTGATAAAGCCCATGCCTACGACAGCCGACACGCAGGAGAAGACGAGAGCGATGATGCCGCGCGCCGTAAACCCGGCAGGCAGCCAGGCGGGCTGGGCGTTCTGGCCGGTCAGATCAAGGTAGTCGACCGTATTCGCCGCCGCATTGCCCTCGTCGGGCACGCCAGCCGCGCGGCAGACCTCCCAGTGGTCGGCGGGAATAGTCAGTCGCTCCTGGACCAAGGCGGGGGCTTCCACAAAAGTCATGGCCAGGCCCTGGGCCAGGTGCCAGTCGATGTGGCAGTGGAAGAACCAAACCCCCGGGTTATCGGCAACAAACCGGATGACGAAGTACCCGCCGGGCGGGAGTACGAGCGTGTCCCGGCGGGCCGGGTACGCCGGGAAGCTGTCGGTCAGCGTTGTGTTGGAGCTATCGTACGTAGCGAAGGTCGTGCCGGCCGAGTAGTCGTAGAAGTCTGCTCCATAGGCCGGATAGCGCGTCACCAGCTGGAAGGCGTGGCCGTGTAGGTGGAACGGATGGGAGCCTGTGTCTTGGTTCTCTAGGACGATCTCAACCACAGCGTTGTGGTCTAAGACCACTGGGTGGGTGTACTCGCCATATACGGTTGCGTTGGTCGCTAGATCGCCTGCAGACATCACAGTGTATAAGGTGGGCACCTTGGGCGAAGTGTAGCTGATATCATTTAGGAATGCGTACCCCTTTCCGTTGATCAGGTTGTCCATCAGAACGGTCAGCTTGACCTGGATGTCGGGCTCCGGGAGCAAAGCCGCCCGATCGGACGGAACCAGACTCATATCGTCAAAGGCTTCCAGCTCGGAGGAGACATTAATGCTGAGAGTCGCCTCGGCGTACTCGGCCTGGGTGTTGTACTCGAGCCAGTTGGTCTGGTTCAAGACTAAATCCGATGGCACGGTGTCGAGCAGGACGGAGTCGGCTATAGTCACCATAGGGTAGTTCTTCTCAGTGGAGTTCATCATCGTAACGAGAACCGAGTACCGCTGACCCACTGCGATGTACAGTACCTCAGCCTCGGTCTCGTCGACATAGATCCCGTCGATCTCCACAATGCGCATGGTGTGGTCTTCGATATAGAAGTATTGAGACACAAAGGCCCCGATGTTAATCAGGCGCAGCATGTACGTCTTTCCCGCCTCGACCGGAAACTTGGAGTTCATCGTGTCGTTGACCAGAAACGCCTGCGGGATCGGTTCTGCTCCGGTGGGATTATACAACGAGAGGAACTCCGGGCGGATATCCTCCGTCAGCTTGTGGTACCAGTCGCTCATTGTGATAGTATACTCCTCATCGTACTTGAAAGGAGGGGTGTTGTCATGGACAATCAGCGCCTGGCGGTAGCCATCTGGATAACACCAGTCCGTGTGGCAGTGGTACCAGTAGGTGCCATTCTGCTCCACCGTGAAGTTATATGTGATGCTGGCCCCGGGGACCACTGGACACTGATTCAACATAGAGGGACCGTCCATGGAGGTCGTCCCGTTCTGATAGAGGCCATGGAAGTGGATGGAGGAATTGTGTGTCTCCAGCCCGTTGTACATGTTCACCACCAGCCGGTCTCCCTTGTCGACCTCGATCACGGGAAGCGGCCATTGCCCGTTGACTCCGATGACCTTGCGCTCGGCCAAGCCATCAGGATTCGCATTGACCCAAGTGAGATTGAAGTCATATGTGACGGTTTTCGCCTGCCCTAAGGCTGGCAGCGACAGAAAGAAGAACGCCAGTGGCCACATTGTCAGCGGCCCGATGCGAAGAAAAGAGCTCGCTTCAGAGAGGAGACGATGAGAACGGGAAGATAGAATGAGCCCGATGTGATGGGTTATATCCTTCCCCTCGCGCCCTGCGAGGTGGCGGGATCACTTCTGTCATTTGCAAATTTACCATCGAGGGCGTATTCGGGCTGTTTCCCACTCCACTCTACGACTGATTGATAAGAGACTGCATCCTCGCTTAGACTTTCCCGCTGACGCTTAAAGGATTAACCAGTCCGCAGGTTAGTCCTCGACGTGCGGAGACTTCTCTAAGGATCCATGGAAATTCCATGGCAAACCCTCCGGATGGCATGTGACAGGAAGGGGGTTAAACTGGTATGAGAGGGGAGATTATCTGACTCCGACGGATCAGATATCGTCTGTCGGCAATATTTTGCCAAGCTCGCCAAGCTCGCTAAGCTCGGCGATTAGAAGACTTTAGTCTGCCTCACATCTACTTGGTCGAGACCCCGTCGCCCGATCGGGTTATTTTCCCCTGGGACCTCGCCATAGCCATTCGATCCGCCAGGCGGAGGATATCGGAATAGAATCGTGCCGCTATACCAAACACAGCATGTTCAGCCTTATGTGTCTACTGGTATTATTTATTCTCTGTATCACTACCTACTGGGGCAGGATCGAATTCTCTTTAGGATATTAATTATGTGAAAGATCGGTTTTTGGATTGTGAATATCGAAGCAGGGGTCTAACGCAGATTGGTCTAGCGCGGATATCGTCCACGGAAGTCTGCCCCGTCAACTTGGAAATATCTGGGGCGCCTAGAAAATATGGGAGTCGGATGATAGCTTCTCAAAATGAGAAGGTCTGGTGGAGTCTATATTGCTTCGCTCTCGTAATTGCTTCCTCTCTGGGGGCCTTGGCGCGCAGGAAAAAGGCTCTCAACTCCAACTCCCTTCCACTGAACGGAATATTGAGTATTTGATGGGATCGGTGTTTTTTCGGGGACTTTTAGGCCTCGACCTAGTGAGTGCCAAATGCATACGTCCAATTTTTGGATGAAACGGGGCCTACCGCAGCAAAGTCTTTCAAGGCATGACACGCGAGCGGGCCAGTGGGCAAGGCTGCCTCGATATATCTCGCCATCTAGTCTGTGATGTTCACCAAACACGAAGGTCGATTTGCGTAAGCGAGGTGGTAGGTTATGCGCCCTTGTATGCTACGCGACAGTAATGAAGAAGACCTCGAGGGAGCTGGTGGTTGCCCGGAGGCCTCGTTGGCTGGGCTGCTCACCGCCCACTTGTCACCCATTGCCTCTCAGTGCCATGATAACCTCGCGTAGGTGAATTTATCACTCATCCACAGTCGTGAACAAGGCCGTCCTCGCCACCAGCAGGATCGCTCGGATGTCGAATCTGGTCCTAGCCTCCAAACCACCCCCCACTACGGAAATTCAGACTGCAATGCTGGTATCATGCTTGTATTGTCACTATCACTCAGAAACTACACAACGAGTCCTCGCCTTCCCTGCTTCCTGCCAACCGCGACAAATCTCCAGGGTTCGTCTCTGTTGTTCTTACTTAGTTGGTTCCACAACAGTCTGCACCACGTCGTCCACAAACATCGAGGCCTGCACCTGTCGGACCAGGTCCTGCTCCTTCGAGTCCTCCATCTCCAACAACTTGCCAGCCGCATAGCTCTTCAATCCAGGGACGCGGGCAAGGAAGCTCCAGTACCGGTGCACGAGCGTCCTCTGGCCCTTCCGTTCCTCATACATCAGCCACGAGACACACACCATAATGAACACCCAGTAGAGATTATAGCTGATCACCGACCCGTAGGTGCCGGTATTCTGCCAGCCCAGGATCGCCTGGAACACGTCCCACCCGTTGTCGATCTCCGGGTTGCAGCAGTTGACATGCCACACGGTCTCCGCGATGTTGTAGGAGCCGGGCCCGGAGCCTTCCTCAGCCACGTCGCTGCCGACTTTGACCTGGAAGGCGTTGAACTGCAGACTCCAGACGGCCTTGGAGAACATACCCGCGGCGATCAGGTAGAGGACGCAGGTAGAGGCGATGAGAAAGATACGGATAGACATGACGTTACCACCGCGGTAGATACACCACCCAGCTAGGAGCCCGGCGAGGAGACCCGTGACCACGGGCAGGGGGAACGCGGTAGCGGGGTAGCCCAGCGAGACGCCGCCGACGAAGACGACCGCCTCAACTCCTTCACGCATTGTGGTGATGAAAGGAAGGATGAACATGGCATACCGACGAGCCCAGTCGCCGCGCAGCCAGCGGGTGCGGCCCTCGCTTTTGGCGATCAGCGCCTGCGCGATCTTGACTCGCCACTTTTGCTTCGTCTTGTTGATCCTCAGCAGCGCCAGCCCCATCACCGTCACGATCACCGTCGCGATCACGTAGAAGATTCCCTCCCACAGATCCTCCGAGTTGGACCAGATGTCGCTTCCCAGCCCGTAGAAGATGCCGATGAAAATACCCCCGATGATCAGGCACACCACCACCCCGCAGAGGGATCCCCACCAAACCTGCTTGCGCAGTCGCCGATGAATCTCCAGGTCCATACCCGGTTGGCCCAGGCATTGTTTCAGGAAGGACAGCAGGACCGACACGACGATCACGGCTTCCAGGCACTCGCGGAAGACGATGAAGAACACCTGCACTGCAAACACGTCGGTCATGGTGACTTGCGTTGATTGGCTTCACTGACTTGGTCTTTGGTCGCAATGAGGGAAGGTGTCACTAACAGAAGAAAAGACAGGAAAATAGAAGACACAATGAAGTAAGAATCTAAGCAGAAACCGGGTGTGTCGAGCAAAGAGGTACTGTGCAGAGAGGAATGTTGGAGTCTTATGAACAACGATTGAAGCCCCGTCTAGCTACCAAGACGAGGAGGTGTCTGCATTTGGCCCAAGTCACCCACCCGCCCCGAAACCAGTAATCCGGTTACCAAACACGAGACATCGATACTGGTATTTTTCAAAGCGAAGCAAGATAGAAGACAGCAGAAGCGAGAGAGACAAAGAAAACCTTCACGAGGAGTCGGTGGGGCTGGGCCGGAAAAGCTTTGCTTTGCTTTTTGGCGATTAAGATTCTCTAAGATTGTTGCCGAGTAGGATGGATTTCCTCGGGGGGCCCGGGCTATGGATTGACGGCGACTAAACCTCTTTAGGCCTCGGGGTTAACCTTGTTTGCCGAGCTTACTTTATCTGATCCGAGCCACTGCCTTGCTCGATTCGGAAGCTTGACCCGACACATGGATTCTTCCGCAGCGGTCCCCAATAACTACTGCATGGGTATTCTTACCTTAGTCATCGGTACCAAGAAAGAGGGTTTGTGGCAGTAAGCCGAGGACTAAACACCTTGTATGGACATAGACATCGTACTCAGACTTCAGAATGCGCCCTCGCTTCCTACACGGTGGGCCACCCGGGGAAGATTCATTAGCCGTCGGTGTTGTAAAACTTCATTCAAGTTCAGACGGAGTCGAGAGCAGAGATTTGCGAGGAAAGATGGTGAGATGGCGTGTTTACTCCACTTAGACCGCCACTTGGCCGAGTGGTTTTGCTTGTCTAGCAAAACAGGAAATAGTCGAGGACCTTGCAGGAATCGTAGGCGAGAATGGCCCGGAGGAGGGTGTCGTGTGCACGCTTAAATAGATATCGCACCTCGGTGTCAATCACTTCAGCGTCTTGTTGAGTGTCTGGGTCTGCGGTGAGATCGGGCTGGTCTTGTTGTTTATCATGAAGTGGTCATTCTTGGCCATAGTCTTCGGCCTATGCTCGGTCGTCTGGGCCAGCAACTTGCCCACCTCCAAGTCGCAGTATTGTTTCTATTCGATCTATAAATCCCTGACCTCGTTAACTTTCGAAGAGGGGACATCTTCTTCTTCGAAGACCAGCTCCAAGTCGAATGGCACCACCACATCTGCCGGTCATGAGGCGAGTATGGTCCGCAGAGGTGGACGAGGAGGCGGTGCGTCGACGACTACCAAGTACGAGCCGTACTGTGAGGACACCATCGAGGTCACTTCTATTTACGCGTCGATGAAGGAGTATTGCTCCACCAAGGAGATTGTCAAGGGCGTGGCGTACTGGCAGGTGCTCTGTGGCAAGAACAAGGTGGACCTGATCAATCTCACCGCGATCGACACCGAGCTCACCCCCCAATACCTCGCCAGTCTGCCCGTCGTGGCCCCTGACACGTACAACACTTCGGTGGCTGTCACGAGTCCCGTGGTGTTGGAAAAGAGCTACTATAAACGGTATCTGCGTCGATTGGTGAGTGGCTAGCTCTTCCTTCCCAGATCAAACTCATTTCAACTCAATTCTAATGGCTGATGATCCACACAGGAAGCCACAATCGACGCCACACCGACGAACATTGTCTACGGATGGGCACTGATCGGATACTGGGGGGGAGTCATGGTACTGGGCAGTCTGTTCAATCTGCTCAGGGCAACCCCCTGGTCCTGTTCTCAAGGTCCAGGTTTCCTCGCCACCCTCCGATATTATCTTCGACTGCACCTGGTGATCCCCGCCACCATCGGCACATATCACCAGCGAGCATGGTACTGGTGTAGCATCCCCAAGCGATTGGACTCGCTCATTGTCTTTGGCTTCTGGGCGATCTCTATTGTCCTCTCATGCGTCAATCTTGGTACCTTCTCTGGAAATCCAACGTGAGTAGGCGCCAACCACTATTTGGCCTGGCTTTGACGAGACTTCTCCTGATCCTTTGCTTTCTTCTAGAACCCCCGACGTGTCTCAGCAGAATTGGGTGTATCTATCGGACCGGACTGCTGTCTTGTCATATGCATGTCTCTGCTGGCTTTGGATGTTTGGAGGCCGGAACAATATCTTCATCTGGTCAACCGGCTGGAGCTACGGGACCTTTTCGGTCTTCCATCGCCATATCGCTCTGGTGGCCACGCTTGAGGCTGTGGTTCACTCCATTGGGTATACCGTCCAATGGAACGTATACTGTACGTCCGGACTGTTGACACAAGGGTTTCTCTGTTCATTTCTACTAACAGGCTATGTCTAGCTTCGGACTACATTCCTGCTTTGAAGGATTTATACTTTGTGCTGGGTATTGTGGTATGTTATGACTGGAGGACAATCGGGGGCTGTCTCGAACAAAAAGCTCTAACTTCACTCCACCCCAAGGCAACGATCATCATGTGTCTCATGATTGTTTTCGCGATTCTTCCTATCCGTCAGCGATTCTACGAATTGTTCCTCCTCATCCACATCGCCTTTGCGATCGTGCTTCTGTACTGCTTGTATATGTATGTCATCACGCTCCCTTCTTCGGCAGCAGTATTGCCGCCGCGCTCAGATGCTAACACATACAACCGTCAATCAGTCACACGGCACAGATCGGGGCAGTGTATTACAGTGGCTATCTCTGGCCCCCTGTTGCCATCTGGAGCTTCGATCGATTCCTCCGCCTTGTCCGCCTGGGTTGGTGCAACGTCCGCGTCTGGTATGGCCATGCCAGCGGCACCCAGGCGGTGGTACACTACAGCCCCACCAGTGATGTGATGCGCGTGGATATCCAGAATGCCACGGTGCAGGGCGGGCCGGGACAATACTATCATCTATACCAACCCATGACGCTGAAAGGGTGGGAGAACCACCCCTTCACGCTCGGTGCGTTCTCCCCCGGCACCAATGCTAGCAGGCCCCTCGCCACCCCAGGGCAGGTAGAGGATGGTCTCAAGCCATCTGCACCGCAGGTGCAAGTGACTGAGACCGGCTCAGCATCACCCTCCACATCGACCCTGACGTTCTGGATCCGCCCCTACGACGGCTGGACCAAGCGCCTCCGCGACCAATGCATGCAACAGCCCGGCAACACCATCAGTCCCGCCCTCCTCCTTGAAGGTCCCTACGGCCATCGCGCCCCGCTACACACCTACCACACTCTCATCATGATCATGGGCGGCACGGGTATCGCCTGCGCGATTCCCTACCTCCAGGACCACCTGGCGCGCCGACGCCGTCATGCAACCACCGCGACCGTCCAGGTCCAACTCCACTGGACCGTGCGCCAGCCGGCCTTCGTAATGGAGTTGATGGAGCGCGAGCTTGCAGACATCCTCGCGAGCGGCGAGGTGCAAGCGTCCTTCTACTGCTCTCGCAAGGGGGCTTTGGAGGACGAGCGTATTCCCACGTTAGACTCCGCGAAGGAAAAGGGAGTCTCCACCGGCCAGAAACCTCTCCAGCTCTCTGCGGTAACAATCCGTCCCGGCCGGGCGCCCATTGACCAGATCATCGTCGAGGCGGGCGCCGTCGCCGCGGCGGAGAACACGCGGGTCGCGGTCGTCAGCTGCGGTCCGGCCGCCATGGCCGACCAGACCCGCGCAGCGGTGCATGCGGCGCTGAAGCAAGGGTGCCGCTCGATGGACTACTTCGAAGAGGCGTATGGCTGGTAAAAGTGGCAAAGAGGGCAGGCTGGGTGGAGAGGAGATCGCTCTGGCTGGTCTTCCACCGAGGTTTGAAAATTGAAACAGGCAGATCTGCCATCCTGGCGAGTATATAAAATCCTGCACTGTAGATCACCAATGGCAATGGGTCTTTAGTTGGCTGGAGATGTAAGAGGATGTCTATGAACATGCAATAGAGTTGACCTACCGAAGTTGAGGGAATCGAGTTGAGGGAACATAAGTAAGTGGTAGAAACCTGAGGTGCTAAAAGCACCACCCCGCCTTTGCACAATTTAGCAGAAATCACTCCATGACGCACACTTTCTCTTGAATTTTCTTTTTACCGGGCCGCTTTTTCTTTCATTTGTTTTGATTTGATTTATGAATGGTGACTATACAGCCGACGGCCATCTTGATATGTGTACCATGGACAGTTTTGTAGCCAGACTTCGCCACTTCATGTACAGTACCGGGAGAAATCCGGGAAACCACCTCGGTGACGCCAACTACTCCTCCGCGACTGGATAGAAGATGTGCTTTGATTTGTAACTGCCCTCACGATCATCTGGAATACAATGTGCGAGAAGAGATGTCTCCAGAAAAAGAGAAGATAACATGACTCTCGCAATAGTGTGACGTCGACAGGATGTGGAAAGACCAGAGGTATCCCTACCCAGACTAGGTAAAAGAACAACCAGGCACACAAGCCCAACCCTGCACAGCCAACCCATCAATCACTTCAAAGTGTTGTGAAAATCCAAGCTCGACTCCTCCAATCTCAACTACCCTGTCTTGGCACTACCACCACTGGAGCCCCAGCCAGAGGGAGACCAGCCAAAACGTACAAGCAGCAGTGCACCACGTCGAGTGTGGATTTCGGTCTCGCGCGAGAGTCCGATTTTCCACCACACTCAGAGCCCACTCTGCGCCTCAAGCTAGGTTTCAGGCCCACGCATGATGGTCCAAAGAAAATAGACCTAGAAGACAAAGGCGTCCCCAGAGCTATGATATTCCGTCGGACGAGATCGTCGGGTCTATATCGTTCTTCCGCGCTAGGTGCATTTGCAGGTGACATAATGACCATAATAGGAGTAGGTCGTGCGCGACTGGCAAGCACTGAGCGACAGGGGCGCGACGGTGAAGGAACGCACGTTGCCGTTCTCGCAGCGGTGGTGCGGCCAGATGATCATGGTGAGGATCTTCTCGGCGAAGGCGTTTTCGAACCGCACCCCGTAGTAGGTCTGGTTATGGTTGTAGCAGGTGCTGCCGTAGCGGGTCACGAGCGCTGAGTCGGTGCAGGCCGAGTAGTCGGACAGGTAGCCGTAGTAGTGGTAGTGGGTGCGTTTCGCCAGCCCCCGGTGATCATCGTCCCGTCGCCCGAGGACCTCATCCTCGTCGTGGATGGTGGTGCTGTTGGCGCTGGCGGACGGCCGGGTCCCGATCGGCGTTTGGCCTTGGGCGCCCTGCGCGAGGAGCCACGCGTAGGTCGCCGCGCTCGCGGGGATGCTGTTCTCCTCTTGGTTCGCGTCGGTTTTGACCGTGTCCTCGACGGCGAGTTGCATCCCCGTCATCACCTCAGAGACGGTCAGGCAGTCGTAGAGCCCGCTGTCCGCACCGTCCAGCGTGATGGTTTGGTTGCTTCCCGGCGGGAGGATCACTGTCATCCCGGAGTCCACGTACACCCGGTAGCTGGTCTCCAGGCTGGACAGACAGGTCAGAAATGTCTCGGTGGCACCCGCCGGTAGCTCCGCCGCGCCATAAACGGTAATGTTTTGCGCCATCGCCCCATGCAAGGCGGCCGCACCGGTCAACAGGGCCGTCCAAAGTTGAGTTCGCATGGCTGCTAAGCGGGTTCACGATTGTTGTTGATAGTGCTGCGACACGAATTGATCGGTCTCAGTACGACACAAACTAGGACTTCAAGGAGGGGAAGACATACACCGTTGAAAAGGAGACAATGCTCTGGTTGAGAGAGATGCATTGTTTGGAAGAAAGGACGTTGAGCCTAGTATTTATATGCAGTACTCCGGCCATGCGCTGCAGCATGAATGCATCGTCTGTGCTATTGTGTGGTGTGTCATCTTGGGATTCGAGTCACGGTGGATCTGGAGTCGTGAAGAATTTGGGGGCCAAATGCAGTTTCTTTCTTCTCGTGGCCCCTGAGTACTATCCATGATGCTTGTATACCTCACCTGAACGAGAGTCTGAACAATGATTCTCCACCACCCGGTTGAAAGGATTTATTGGTCCTCCTTCTTATCGGACTCGGTGCTCAGTGGGTCGTAGACCACTTCGCGAGACAGCCAATTATAATCCCACTACAATGCTGGTGCCTAGAAGATTTCGGTGTGCAGAACTGCCAGAATCGAAGTTAGCTTGCTTTCCGTGGCGCTCCACTATCGAAACAAGGCTTGGTTAGCTTAATTAGCTTAAGCTTCCACTTGGCCGTGGCTGATGATTTGATGATCCTCTCCCACTTGCCACGCACATACGTACATAGTAAGGTAGTATGTACAACTTACTGTACATACTATCAAGCCGAGGTACAGCAACTCACCTGACCTAGTTTGGCTAGTTTCTACCCAACCCGACACACAACACCGTCAACATTAGTCACTAGTTGCTGTGCTTACCGTCCCCACAATCACTTTTTGACTTCACGTCTTCCCTTCGCAGGCACCACAAAAGAGGAATCAGAAAATGAAGATAATTGACTTACCAAGCGAGATCCTGCAGCACATCGCAGCGACGCTCGATTCCGTCGCCGACCTCAACGCTTTCGCGCAGACCTGCGCCCGCGCCTATCAACTGGTCAGCCCTTATCTCTACCGGTACGACGGCCAATACTGCGGCGGGATCGCATTATGCTGGGCGGTCGAGGGGGGCCGTCAGCAGACCGCGCAGAAATTACTGGAATTATATCGCCCCCTGCTGTCTGATTCACAGATGCAGTTCGTTACCCACCGGGCCCTCGTGCTGGCGGCGCAGTATGGGCATCCGACGATCGTGCAGATGCTGCTTGGACTGGGATGCGTTGATCCGGACGTGCGACTGATTCCGAACTCCAAGGTGACACCGCTCATGTACGCGGCGTCTGCAGGCCACGAGGAGGTGGTCCGCGTGCTTCTGGCGACGCAGCGGGTTGAAGTGAATGCGCGAGACGCTTGGGGCGCCACCCCGCTGCATCGTGCGGCGGCGGCGGCGGCGGCCGGGAGTTCTCCGAATGAGGCGGTGATCCGGCTGCTGCTGGCTATCCCTGGCGTTCGCCCCGACCTTCGCGATGATCATGGTCGGACACCGCTGACGTGGTTAGCGGGTCATGGCAAGGTGGCTTTGCTGGAGTCACTGCTGTTTACCCACCATGTCAACCCCCATCCAAGGGATGATGCAGGCAACATCCCATTGTTCGAGGCTGTGCGCAACGGGCACGAAGCGGCAGTGGATATTTTGCTTCGGGCTGGGGGACAAGGGGATGTTGATGCGACCGACGAGGACGGACAGACCGCCCTGGCCATGGCGGCGAAAGACGGCCACGTGGGAGTCGCGCGGCTTCTTTTAGCGGCGGGGGCGAGTCCCGATGTCAAGGACACCTTTGGGCAGACTCCGCTGGTAAAAGCGGCGCAGGCTGGTTGGAAGGAGGTTGTGCAGCTTTTGCTTGCCACGGAGGGTGTGGATCGTAACTCTCAGGATGCGGAGGGTCGGACTCCGCTCTCATGGGCGGCGGAGAATGGATTTGTGGACGTCGTCAAGGTGTTGCTCGCGGCGGATGTCGATCCAACTCTTCCTGATCACGACGGGAAAACGCCTCTTGCTTGGGCGGAGGACTTTGGCAACGAGATCTTGGCGGACTTGCTGTGAGGTCGGGAATGATAAGCAATTTGATGAAGCACTTAGTGGTGGGCTGATATGGAACGACTCCTTGAATTCTTGGTGGTTGGTTGGCTGAACTATCTGAGATGACAACATTTGAAGGAAGTAGTAGCCTGCAAACCGTGATGGATCACGTGACCAGCTTACCTAGGAACGCCGACAATATACTCTATGTAGCCAATGAGTACAGCGGTTGATTTGAATCTCTTCTCTCATTGATTGTAACTTTGTCTGCTACCTCCAACGTCTCATTACTCTTCAGCTCTCCACACGCTCAATACACGAGTGCCACTGCTACATGAACTGCATGCTGCCGGACGTCGGGCCGGTTACCGATGCGCAAAGTGCGGAGTACGTGCGGAGAGCCCGTTTAGCCACGGAGTGGCGGGACCTTGCCTCACAAACTGACTGCTAAGTCCTTGTTCAATTTTACACGTCGCAATTAGGCTAAAAACACCAGGGGAAACAGTCCTGCATTTCGCTTGTCAACCAATCCACGTTATGCCAGACCATGTTTGCACGCAGCCTCCCCCACGCTCCGTGTCCTGCAGCGTTAGCCTCGATGCTTTCACTACAAAGCAATTCTCCCATTTTGCCCATGCCAGTGATCGAATTCGGCTGTGAAGAACAGCGGAGCATAGCTCCGTGAGCTGAGACTTAGACTGGCTCGTTGCCTGACTGGGTTGCCAAAGTCAAGGTATATAAGTAGCTCTGTCGCAGACCACAAGCTTTTTCTGGTCTGAGAACCACCACAATCACGCAAAAATGGTCGGACTGCTTTCAATCACCGCGGCGCTTGCCGCGACTGTGTTGCCAAACATGTGCGTATCTTCGAAATCCTGACATGAAGAAATGTGACCCCGGCTAATCGCTCTCTTTACCTCTCCAGTGTCTCTGCCGTTGGTCTGGATCAGGCTGCAGTTGCCAAAGGACTTCAATACTTTGGCACAGCTACGGATAATCCCGAGCTCACGGATATTCCATACGTTACTCAGCTGAACAACACCGCGGACTTTGGTCAAATTACCCCTGGAAACTCGATGAAGGTGACTATGCCGTGTGTCTAGCTCATGGGATTGTTACTGAATTCTCGTGATAGTGGGATGCCACAGAACCATCTCAGGGCACCTTCACGTTCACGAAAGGCGATGTCATTGCAGATCTGGCTGAGGGTAATGGCCAATATCTCCGATGTCATACTCTGGTTTGGTATAATCAGCTACCTAGCTGGGGTATGTGTCCTTCGTCTATCTGTGGAGCCTTGCGAAGGGAATTGACAGGAATATTAATGACTATCGCGGACAGTGACTAGCGGAACTTGGACTAATGCTACTCTCACCGCCGCATTGAAGAACCACATCACGAATGTGGTGTCGCACTACAAAGGGAAATGTCTTCATTGGGACGTGGTCAATGAGGGTGAGTCATGCGTCTCCTTTCTCTACCCCCATCCGAAAGCCTGACGGGCTTCCAGCGTTGAATGACGACGGAACCTACCGCACCAACATCTTCTACACCACCATCGGCGAAGCCTACATCCCCATTGCCTTTGCCGCAGCGGCTGCAGCCGACCCGGACGCGAAGCTGTTCTACAATGACTACAACCTCGAATACGGCGGCGCCAAAGCCGCCAGCGCCCGCGCCATTGTCCAGCTGGTCAAGAATGCAGGTGCCAAGATCGACGGGGTAGGGTTGCAGGCCCACTTCAGCGTCGGTACCGTGCCGAGTACGAGCTCGCTCGTCTCGGTGCTGCAATCTTTCACTGCGCTCGGGGTCGAGGTCGCCTACACGGAGGCCGACGTGCGCATTCTCCTGCCCACCACCGCCACTACCCTGGCCCAACAGTCGAGCGATTTCCAGGCCCTGGTGCAATCCTGTGTGCAGACAACGGGCTGCGTCGGCTTCACTATCTGGGATTGGACAGATAAGTACAGCTGGGTTCCCAGCACGTTCTCGGGCTATGGGGCGGCGCTACCCTGGGATGAGAACCTGGTTAAGAAGCCCGCGTACAATGGCTTGTTGGCCGGCATGGGGGTTACAGTTACCACTACGACTACCACCACCACTGCTACTGCCACTGGTAAGACTACGACTACCACAACGGGTGCCACGAGCACGGGGACTACGGCTGCGCATTGGGGGCAGTGTGGAGGGCTCAACTGGAGTGGACCGACGGCGTGTGCCACTGGGTACACCTGCACTTATGTCAATGACTATTACTCGCAGTGTCTGTGAAGTATAGCCCAACCTAAACCTGCCGGCGTGCTTGCCATTCAGTCAGTGAGATTTATATATCACAATACTCAAACTTTATTGCTCGACCTCTGAGGTAGTACCCTGCAAGGTCTTTAGAAAGAAGAGACCAGATGGCGCATTTTGTATGGTTATTGACTGTTAGGGGAAGCCTCTTGATACAGTAAAATCGCTCAAAGGGCGATATCTACTCCTCCTTCTCCTCCTCCTTCTTCACCACCACATCCTCCTCCTCCTTCGCCTCCTCTTCCGCCGCCGCATCCTTCCCACGACGGGGCACCTCCCGCTCCCAGTTCATCTGCTCGGGCTCCCCGGCCTCGAGCGCCCGAGCCAATGCCGCCGCGTCCCGCCGCTGGCTTCGCCGGGCCCGGGCGTTGTTGGGTTGGGGGGCGGGGCGGACGAAACGAGGTGTCCCCGGAGGGACGAAACGGGTGCACGTCGCACGGACGTGCCCGAAGGCACCGCAACGCGTACAGAACTAGAAAGAGCAAGTATATTAGCGAACCTGAAGGGATTGAACTGTTCGAGAGATGTGCTTGCGCTTGCGCTTACCTGGAATTTGCGGTCCTGGTGCGGCCCCGCCTTGGGGCCTTTGCCCCCGCCCCGGTCTCCGCCCTGGTTGGGCTTCCGGCCCCCGGCCCCGGATGCTGCTGCTGCTGCCGCCGCCGTGCTGGTTCCCGCTGCGCGGGTGGACATATTCGGTTGTGGGGAGAGAGAAGAGCTGTAGATGTGACGAGGTGGATGAAGATGAGGTTGATGTGGACGAGTTGCGTGAAACGGACGCGACGGACGAGGAGAGGAGAGGAGAGGAGAGGAGAGGAGAGGTGAGGTGAGGCGAGGTGAACAGGAGGGTAGGAGACTAACTAGAGCTTCTCCACAATGAAGCGGATCCTACCGGTTGCTGTGTTTGCATTCACGCATATTGAATAAGCACCTGTTCGCGGTGGTGTCTTCATATTACTCCTCGATTTAGCGACCTTACAATAATGCTTCTGGTGAATACTTTATACTTATAGCCACTTTTCTCCAGTGATACTTGAGTGAAGTAGTCAATATAGATAAGGACAGGTATAAGGAAATGGTACCATTCACAATGTCATAAAGTAAATCTGTGCTTGATGCTTGAATGATAACGGTATCCAATAGGATCGTATTCATCTGGAGTCTTAATTTCAGGTGAGTCAATGTTTGATATGGTGAGGTGAAGGCCTCGATCCCCACCGTTCAGTTGCACCACTGCAGATGCGGCTGAGTTTGGACGTGTACTTGGCGATCGGTTGGCTGTGGAGTTGAACACACGCGTGGCCGCTTAGCGATTGGGGTGGCTCAGAGTAGCTGCACTATTGATTCCAATTGTGCTAATCGTGAGAAAGAGTAGTCACAACCCGTGGGGTTCTTCGGCAGACAATCTTCCAGTAGGCAACCGTCGCTGAGACAAATAAGCTGATGTCTGTCCAGTGATGGCTTTCTCTTCAACCATCAACAGTGTGCGTGCGAGTGCTTCAAGCTATATAGTGAGTCTTAATTCCATATCTCAGTCTGGCTACAAGGATGAACCACTTACTCAACATTTTGCGGGGTGGTCTATTTCCATAGTACTGGAGCTGACGTTTCATCAATCCCAACATAGTTCCTGGTCTATATTCACAGACCCATCGATCTTTACTTTCTTTCTTCATCCGGCTCTCTCAAAAATCACAATCCCGATCAAGAATCAAAGATGGTGTTGTACCGCGACGACGAGTTCCGTCAGAACGCGCAGAAATGGGAACAGAAAGTTGACGTCGACGACTCCGGGAGGTACAAGGTCGCTTGCCTCAACGCTACGACGTATCGGGCGTATGAAGGTCCCCTGAACGGGATTTGGTTCTGGTTCGAGAGAGAGGAGTACTACGTGCTGGTCGGCTGCACGCCCTGCATTAACCAACCACGAGGAATTCAGGATATCGTTCCATATTGCCCAACCCAAGCTTCCTTCTATCATCAAATCGTGACGACATATTCCTATGTCTCATCTTCACTGCATGACACTCTATCAGCATAGAGCCTCGTTCTATCCCTTCATTTGAAGCAAGAACACACCACTCAACACCAGAAGCCCAACCAATACAGAGCCAATCTGAGACAGTCAAGTCATGTTCATCTCATGCCAAGCTAAGACGGATAAAAGGTTCGGACTACTGCCGTAGTATAATGAAATATGCTGACACCGGACATGCATCTTGATAATAAGAATGCAGCCTAAGTCCACATATCAACGAAGACTGAAGCTAGAAGCCGGCCCCTGCCAGTTGAACCAAAAACATTTCGCCGATCATGACCAAGATCCCAGCCACGACCACCACGACCTCCATACCCAGCGCCTTGAGAGTGATCTTGAAGCAGCGCACCCAAAAAGGCCGTGCGACGGTGGTCCAGGCATCCTTGATGCCAAGCCTTTCACCGGTGCCTCCAACCTCGGGCCCCACCTTGCCATCAAACCAGCGATCGAAGGGCACGAAGGGCACATCCTCCTCGGGGAGCATGGAGGCGGCCACGCGCACGAAGACCACTCTCGCGGGCAGGGTGACCAGCAGGGAGAGTATCGCCGGGATGAGAACAACCACCACAAACCGGAGATGGCCCCCCAAGGCCAGATGCCCCTGCGCGACACCCGCCACACTCACAAAGGCCCAGCTGCCAGCCGGCACCGCCACGAGATACATCGTGTACGACACGCACACGAGGGCATTCTGCAGCGCCGCCGCCGGGGCGATCGACGGCCAGTACCCGAGGAGGCCCCGCGTATGCCGAGATCTGGCGCCGCGCGGGGATCGGTCCGCGATGATCACGTGGACCCAGGCCATCTGCACGGTGGCCAGGCACATCCGCGCGAGGAACTCCACTGCGAACGAGGCGAGCGTGAGGCGGGCGGGCCCCGAATAGAATATCGGGTTGAGAAAGAATCCCACACCGCGGTCGAGGATGTAGAAGGGGAAGTACATGCGGAATCCATGCGGAATCCATGCAAGCATGAAACGATGAGCCCGCCTCCTCCTTCTCCTCCTCCTTCTCCTCCTCCTTCTCCTCCTCCTTCTCCTCCTCCTTCTCCTCCACCACGGGCGCGGAGGTGCTTGATGGCTGAGCGCAATCCCCACGTGATGGGCTTTACCCTCGAAGTGAACGGATCTACAATCTCGGGATCATCGTCATGTGCGCTTTCGAGGCGGATGGAGGGACTCGGGTCGGCATCCTCGATCGCGGCCAGCGTCACGATCACATGGTTGCAGGTGTAATCGACCTGTCTTCGGTCAGTATGGTTCGAGACTCACTAGTGAACGGACCGACTGACCAAGATGAGTGCAAAAGCAAAGGCAAGGAAGGTGAAGAGGAAAACCAAGGGTGGGATCGCCTGCGAGACCCCGTGTCTTGCCGGGGTTGCAGCCGAGCAGATACAAATTCGGTGGCGTAGCGTGTAAGCACATGCGTGATCGATGACATAGCGATGGATCGAGAGGAGTGAAATCAGATTCGAACGAAGAATTACCTCAGCATGGAGGGGTCCATGGTTTATAATATGCCCATGGCGCTAATGGTTGTTGGCGATGTCTCACTTTAGTCTCGAACACTTCTGCGCCAAGGCCCCGTAGTGCGCGCCTACCATCATAAGCGACAGCGATCCGGACTTCTGGTCACTTTCGCAAATCAGAAGCAGAAAGGTACTGCCTTTGCACTCCTGCAATAGTATTCACCCAGCCCCCAAAACACGCACGGATCACGACCGGAAATGGCAAAGACAAGGCTTGCGCACACGCCACGGTTATAATGGTCGCATAGCGAGATGTGGACCTGAAAAGGGGAAACATGTGGGGCATTTCAGGGTGCATAAGCGCTAATTCCGGGCTCCGGCTCCGGGCTCCCAAGCCCTATTAAAGTTTTGGTGCCTGGAAATCATCAGCCAAGACGTGCCCAAATCGAGATTTGGTTCGAGGTCCTCATGTCGAGACATCTTACTGGAGGGTGGAAGTCACAAAGAGCAGTCAGTGGATCAGCGTGTCGTAGTATATCTTATCTTCTGGCTGGTTCCGATCATACCCGACTACTTCTAAACAACTAACTCCGTCACTCGTTTTCAGCTCAGCTCTCTCGCTATCAAGAATCCAAAGTTCAACTTGGCGTAACTTACCTTTCAACCTCTACGCCGACCTCTGGTCTGGAAAGTCACCGTGCCCTGCCATGGCCTTGTGCATGCATGCATGCATGTATCTTGTCATATATGCCTTCCGCATACCGGAAATACCGACAGTATCCACAAGTGGACACTACCATGGACGGCATAGCATATAGCCACTCTCGTTTTTCGTTTTTTTTTTTTTTTTTTTCTTCCTCGTTCTTCGTCATTCCTCATCCCGACTGTCTTAGATAGGTGTCTTCCTATTAGACTCAATTGAGACAACATCAAAAAGAAAAACATACAACAGAAGGGATTCGCTGGTGGTCACCCACCCAACTACTAACCTCCCGGCGTGTGGCTTAAGTACGGCTGAGCGGACGGGAAGCC